AGATCTAGAACCTGTTTCGGTCCACTTGGAAGTGTGACCCCCAAAGTTTTCTTGGGTCTGTTAACCCTCCATCAAGCATAGACATGTGATGACCCTCAGCTCAACCCATCGATGTCGACTCCGATGGTTTCATGACTGGTTCATGCAAAAAGGATCAGGGTCCATGAGAAGCCTTTTCATATTTATAGATTGTATTCCCAGGTAAAAATCTTAATTGCGCTCAGGGCTCATGACCCTCGACGTCGGCTCGACTTCGTTGCGCGTCGTCGGTTCGAAGTCGGCTGTGAGTGGAGGGATTTAGGTTTCCAGGATCATGCCCAGATGTTTTTGAGGCATGATCCTTCAAGAAAATTCCACATGCCCCAACATGGATGTTTTTGAGGCATGAGCCTTCAAACTCCAAGTTTAGACAAGTGGTCCAGGTTTTCAATTTGGAGCAGGGATCCGAGGGTTTAAGGTTTAAATTGATGTTGATATCTCCTTAGAAGGGGTTGAGCCCTCTGTGACAAGGGTTTGTGACCTCAAAACCCTTGTTTTTTGAGGGTGCGGATACGTAGGGTGGATCATTTATCTGCTAAGGAGTTCTGGGTGCCCTCTCCAGCCCACTCCACCCCACCACCAAGCCCAGCCTGGGAGTAGTCCCAAACCACCGACCGACTCGAACCCAATCCGACCGAGTCCCGATCGACACCATGGTGTATATAGATGCATTTATGTAGGGCAGGTTTGCCCCTCTGTTCCCTTTTTGGGGGCCTGGGCTGGCTGAAAGTTGGTTTTCCAGACATGGTCCCATGTTTATCTCCATTGCAATGGATAGCCGATGCCTGGCTAAAAGCCAATTATCCAATGACCTTGGGGCAGGTTTGCCCCTATAGGCCTAGGGCCCAGGGCGGCCAATAGATTTTTCTCATGACCCTCCACCCATCCCAATCGATCGTCGATGTCCGCACGAAGGGGTATGGGAAGAGCTTTCACTGGGTCAAATCGTACATGGTACATAAAAACTATGTAGAGATCCCATTTTAAAGACCCTCCGCCCATCCCAATCTGCCGTCGATGTCAGCACCCAGGTATATGGATTCAGGTCTATAGTACTAGTCTGTATATTTTTAGGTCGACGCTGCAGTTCAATGACCTCACCTTTCTGGATATGTAAAATTAGCGTTATTTTCAATGGGTCAGGGTCCATCATGACCACTATCATGGCCCTCCACCCATCCCAGTCGATCGTCGATGTCCGGACCGATGGGATTATGGGTTCAGGGAGATTCTAGTCCCTATATCTGGCTCAAAGCCAAGACCTGTAGGGGAGAGTTGCCTCTGTATATTTTTTAGGCCAGGGTGCTTGGTCAATGACCTCACTTTTACTGGACCTGGTCAGTACTATGAGCTTTAATTTTACTGGGTCTTTGGACATTTAATCATGGTCCATCATGACCACTATCATGACCCTCCACCCATCCCAGTCGATCGTTGATCGTCGATGTCCGGACCAAGGGGTATATGGGTTCAGGGAGATTCTAGTCCCATGTTGGACATGTAGCTGTGACCCCATTCCCTGCAAGTCTGAAGTGCAGGTTTAACGAGGTCATCTGAGAACGATCACGTTTTAATTAAGACAGGCCACATGGCCACCCAAAGCCTAATTTTCTGGGAAACCCCAACCCTGATCCCATTTTGTTGGTGTGATTGACCCCCAACCAGCATCCCATTCGATCGATGGAGAGGAGAGGGGGTCTAGCTTCAAGGTGTTGTGGTATGGTATATAGATGTCACTTTACTAAAATTGGATCATCTGTTTGGACAATTCTTCTGGAATAGAAGTTCTTTGGAGGGCTTCCGATATGGTTCCCTGAAGCTTTTGCGACATCCGTGACTCCCTGCCCCACCCTTCCAACCAACCAACGATCGATGCAATGGATCGACTCAACCCAGTTTTAGGTCTGACTTTAAGGTCTGATATCTGTGCAATTTAGTTATCAAAATCAATTTCACCCGTGACATGGACCCACCTGTCAGATCGATTAATGGACTGGACATCGAGTTGGACTCACCTGCTGCAGGACCGAACACTGGGCAAGTGGCTTCAAGCGAAGATCCAGGCTGGCAACCGCATGTGGCCAGATGACCCCTTGCTGGTGATGAATCCACTGGCTTCGTCACTTAGTCTTCAAAATGAGTTTGCCAGCTGGGGCTGGTTAGACCCCCAAAACCCATCCCAACCACCTTCTCAGGAGGTGGGCCAGGAGCCCTAAAAAATGGTCCAGAGACCTTTGGATGGAGCCAGAGAAAGTTCCAGTGACTGTTCCAATTAGCCGGTCGGTCATATGGCACCAGGACCCTGCTTTGGGTTTCGACCGTCCGGTCTGTTCCTGAGATGATGTTGCCAACCTCATTCTCTCCTTGCCCAAGGCAAGCTCTTTGTGAGTGGTTTGGCCTTTCTGAGAGATCTACGGTTCTTGCACCATAGCCTGAAGTGACAGTGGTGGGGGGGTGGCAGGACATGTTCAGTAGCTCTTTGTGAGTGGTTTGGCCTGTGTGAGAGATCTGGACGGTTCTTGCACCATAGCCTGAAGTGGTGGGGGGGGTGGCAGGACATGTTCAGTTCCAATGTTCTTTCACTGATTGGGTGGCCTTTTTGGGTGATGTTAAAACTTCCATTCAAGCACACCAAATGGCAGGTGGCTAAGCCAAGAACTGTGGTAGTATGTGGTAGGCATTGTCTTCAAAGATTCAAGAGCACACATGTAGGCATCAATGATGCCAGAAGTTATCAGAGATCACTTTGATTGCTCAGGACGCAGGATCAGGCTGATGCCATCCACAGTGCTGGGAAGCGCTTTCTGCACCACCACATCGGCTGCCTCAAAATAGCCAACAGGACTTCCGTTGAGGGGGGCGTCGAATTTCCCTTTATCTTAAAGACTTCAACGGCCCCTTGAGACCTGAAGGGCCATTTGAGACCTCAAGGGCCCTTCGCCATTGTTGAGTCAGTTGTGAGGATGGGGCTGCAGTGCTGGTTCTTGAAGCCAAAGGCACACATGTTCTGCCACGTTTTGGCTCGCACCAACAGAGAGCGATTCTTGGCTGAGTGTGTCTTTGGATGACATTGACTGGTCTTTCCTCTAGAGGAGAACTTGATTTGCAGGTTTGAGCTGGTAATTCCAAGTTCAAAGAGGCTTCACTGGTCTTTTGGGAAGAGGTTTCTGTGGTCTTTTGGGTCGATTAACCTGTTCTTTGCTCACTGGAATTGAGCATCTCAGGACTGAACTCGAGGTTCTCGCATTGCTTCTCAGAAGAAGACACCATCGGGATGATCAAGAAGCTGTCATGTGCAATCTCTGGCAGACACATGGAAAAGTTCCTGGCCAAGATTGCGAGGCTCTGCTTGAAGTATGCAAAGGCACGCATGCGCAGGACAGTTTGGCTCTCTGATTGCATAGTACCATTCAGGTTGGTTACTCATTCTGCAGCATCTTCTTGTTCTGAATTTGGATGGCATGCGGCCAAGCCAAGAACCGCAGCTAGGAACCAAGAATTTGCAGTTGGATGGCAAGCGGCTAAGCCAAGAACCGTGCTAGCATCACTAGCATGAATGGAACTGGACTTGCTCTAAAATTGTTTTCCCTTTGCATTTGACTTGTGGCAGGATCGATATGGATGTGGTGTGGCGACGATGACATGGCAAGGACTGGCAGTTTTAGCATCTTCTGATGGCAAGCGGCTAAGCCAAGAACCGCAGCTAGGACTATAGAATATGCAGTGAACATGTGAAGGTTCACATACAACATCACACCAGGAGGTAACGTAACGTGATTTTATGAATTTGGTTACTGTTTTGAGTGTTTTTTCATCGATTTGTGCAGGATCTATGTGGGCTCTGGTGGCGACGCCAGTGTGGTTGAGACAAAAGGGCGGTTTTTCCGACAAACGCGATGACCTCGTAAAACTTGATCGTTCCCAGATGACCTCGTTAAACTTGCACTTCGGACTTGCAGGGTATATATATATATACATACTCACACACTATGTGTGTGTGTGTGTCCAAAGTTCAGTTGTGTGACGTGCATCATCAACTCCCTTCATAAACACTCAAAAACTAATTACTTTTCGTAAGCGCAGGAGGTCCTGGGAGTGCGCCCTAAAAACGGTCCGCTAATCTCGCTCAGCAGTTGTCAATAATAGTTCTGCGTATTCCACCCTTGTTGCTTGGAGTTCCAACCTCCGCCTCCCCAAAACTGTTGACCAACTTCCCCTTGTTTCTGGAAGTGTCGGTACTTGTAAGAATTGGCTTGCTGCATCACAGCGAAGGAGGTGAGCGCAGGAGGTGGGTTCATTTCCATTGAGATCACAGCGTCGTAGGTGAGCCTCAAGCCGGTCTGCCACTGCCCGTAGCCCAAGAGGAATTCAAAGGTGATTTCCTCGTCCAGGTTCACCTCCAGGCTCTCATCAGCCTCATCCTCGTCATCCTTTTCTTCCGGTTCTTCCACGAAGAATGGTCCCATGATGACATCTTTTGAAGGCTTGCAGAACTTGGACACAAGCGTGCCCAAGCCCTCCTTATAGACAGCTGCCAGGCCCATGCAAGCGCAGGCCGCAGGGATCACAAGGCCCGAGCCTGGCAGCACGCTGTCAAGCCCGAGCATGCTTCACCAACCGCCGGCGACCCCCAGGGGCAGGAAGGCCACCAAGCCTTCAGTGCCAAACCCCATATCACTGCAGTTCATCTCCGCCCACACCTGGAAAAAGCTGCGGCCGAGCCATTGTAGACTAGTATGCACAACACAAAAAGTTGCTTATGCACCCCTTGCGCGCGGCCTACGCGCACGCGCACGTTCGCGGAATTTCTCCCCCAAGATTGAAGGAAAACACATGCATATTGGTTTTTGAATATGATGCCACGTGCTTGCACAATGCTGAAAAGCCTCTCACGGCCAAGGAAAAATAACTGCGCAAAACCATTTACGCAAACGATTCACAAAAGCGGATCCTGCAATTGTAACAGCAAATCACATACTACAAAAAGCCTTCAACAATCTTCAACATGATAAAGCTTACGCAACTCACCGTTTTACTTACGCGCACTGCTCTTATGCACTAGGACCATGCTCACCTGGAAAAAGCTGCGGCCCAGCACTACTCGCTTGGCGATCGCCTCCAAGTCCCTGGTGCTTGCCCGTTGATCGCAGGCCTCCAAGAGCTTGTCCGAGTTTTGCATCAGCAGGCACACGCAAAGCCGCCGCAGATCTCGAAAAGGGTCACTCTCGTCCACTTTCACCTTGAAGAGAATCCGAATGAGTCTCTGAAAGTTTCCCATGTGCTGCGGCTGGGGATCCCAACCAAAGCAGAAGAAACTCCGCAACCACTGATCTACGATCTTCAAGAGACTTTCCTCAAAGCCTCGTTGTCTCAGGGCGGCAAAGGTGACTGGGCAAAAATGCCGGTAGCTCCTCAGCACCTGACGGGCCTGCTCCTGACTGCGTTGCTGCCCATGAGTTTCGTCGTCAACCTCGGGCCGCAGCAAGCGCTTCCAATAGAACTTCTCTAACATGCGGATCAGCAATGCATAGGTCTTCATCTCCGACTCCGTCATGGACAACAAATTTGAAGAGAAGATGGTCAGATCCTTGTCATAATCAAGGTACTTGTACTTCTTATAGAGTGCAAGGTGTACTCGTCGAAGTTGATGGCGAGCACCGATGAAGGCGTAGTTTGGATGTTTCAGCGGAAAGTGGTGAGCTTCACCTCCATAGACCTGGCCAATTGGGTCATCCAACGCCAGGGCGCGACCGAGAGTAATTTCCACTGGCACCTCGTGAGGGCCTACTCGGTCTCGCTTGTAGTCTGTGCAGGCTTCATGAAAACCGGAGACCACATCTGCCCAGCAAAACTCATGAGTGTGTGTGTTTTTTTTTGTGGAGCTGCAGCGTTCCGGGACCTTGAACTTCTCCTGCAGCTTTCCTCCGACTTGCCCCTTCTTTTGACTTACGATGGTCTCGATGGAGTCCAGTTTGCCCTTCTTTGTGCAAGCCATGTTGCCCAGCCACGTTTGCAGCTGGGTCTTAGAATCTGTGCTGCCAACTTTGGCTGAGATTTTAGAGCCAAAAATGGTGGCGCAACATCCGCGAGTCAACCGCCACATGCCATGAAGAAACGCCACATGCCATCACCCCATAAGGCCATTGTCCATTTCGAGCCCCCCAAAAAGAGGCCACAGGGTGAACAAACATGGGACAAGTGTTTCTTCCACCTGAAGGGACAACTCAAGTGCATTACTGTATATATACGAACAAAACTCTTTCAGTCTTCACTCCCTTCTTGATCGAAAACAAGTATATATATATAATGCAAAGAACGTACAAAAACCACAGAAGCAAGAAAAGAAAGAAAGGAAACAGTAGAGTTAGAGCAAACAACACAAACAGCAAAAGTAGGAAAAGCAAAGAAAGCAAGGAACAAAAAGCAAGACAAACTCAAGGCTTGAAAGCAACAAATACAGAGCAACGGCAACAATGGCCATGGAAAGCACAAGCGCCTAAAACAAGGAAACATAAGGAAACAATACGTCACAAGAAAACAAGAAGCAGGAAAGCAGTAGAAAAGCAAGGAAAGGCAAAACAGCCCAAAAAACGCAGGACAAGCACGAAACGCTGGAAAAATCACAAAGAAGCAAGGAAAAGCACTTCCTTTTTACTTGGAAGCTATCCGAGGTTTGTGGTCGCTAGCTAGGCAAGCAAAGCAAACACAAAAAAGCACGGAAAGCCAGAAAAACCCTAAGACTCACATAGAGAACATGGAAAGCCACCGACCCAAATCCACGAAAGAATTGCAGGTGACCTGATGCGACCTAATGCAAACCACTGATGTGACCTGGCTGCATCTGGCCTTTCTCTTCCTCCATTTTGGAGGGGACGAGGGGACTTGCAGATGTCCACCTTTTTTTGTTTCGGGGCATGGGAAGAGAATCATCCCTATAGGGATCCAGTCGTGCCTTCTCAGGAGGCGAGAGATGAGACACTGAGACATGTAGGTGCCAGGAGGCTCCAGTCGTACCGAACCTGAGAATCATAAGACCACCACCTCCCTCTTTCTTCATTTCTTCCTCACGTCTGGGTCCCTGAAAACGTGCCAATTCCGTCAAATTCCCGTGTCGCTGTGTTCATTCGGCCCAGGTGCGTCCACGCGGATGTCCACCGGACGGTTGATCCTCCTCGCCCACTCGCGAAGGCCTCGGGACCGAAGCCGATCCCGTCGGGGACGGTCGGTCGAAGCCGGTCGCGGCCGAAAAAGCCAAGCGGTTCTGACAACTGACCGTGGTTCTGACGATGCGGACAACGGATACTGATCCCTGAATCAGGACAAATGTGGCATTTGAAATAGTAGGGATCACATAATGTAAATTAACAAATGTAACTCTACGATTTTTCTTTCAAGATGTTTGTATGAATCCTCTACTCGCTGGCAATGGCAAGGCAAAATCAACTCCCATTCTCTTTAACCCGCAGGAAAGCAAACCTGGAACAGGGACCAACGGAAGAGACGGAGAACGAGTTCGATGCTTGGCCCACACGATACCGTGAACAGTGATCCAATCGTCGAGTGTCGCCGCCCAGAGTCACGAACCCATCTGAAAGCGTGAATCATCAACACCAAGGAACAATTATATTAGGATCGTGGCCGTTCAAGGTCCTGGCAAAAAAACCTCCCCAGTTAAAGAGGAGAAATCCTGCACACCCTCCAATGTCCAAACATTCGCAGGGAAACTACTGTAGTACGCTCCCAAACACTCCATGGGACTGCCATGTATGCCGAGAAACGGCCAGGGGTGGTTGACCGGGGGTCAAGATCGCCATGGCAGTCGCACCGGTCGTGGCTGGGATTGATACATTCCGTGGTTACTCGACACCCATTCTCACCGGGCATCCGCAAGCCCCGAGGGCGCGACAGGCCAGGCGCCGATTGTCCCCGGTTTGTAGCTTTCCTTCCGAGCTCTGGTGGTGGCACTGGGGTAGGTGGAGGCACTCAAAACCGCAGCCTGCGAGGTCCTTTCTGCAAATCATGTCCGAGTTCACAAGTAGATTCCAACCCTCAATCCATCATGATATCTGACCGAACCTGCCGACCTTGTCTATCTTATCTATCCTTATTATTTCTTGAATACTTGAACATGAACGTCCCAACCAGAGTGGATGGTATATGGTCAAAGTCAATCTAAACCCAAGATGATTGGTTCGCCTGCAGCTCAAAGCTTCAGTGAAACAAACACACAAGTCCCAAAGCATGTGCTCGCAACTGGAGGATGCTCGCGTCAAATCCTGCCGCACGTCTGCCGCCCGTCTCTGCATACGTCGTCGCCGAGGTCCCGCCGCCGTCGGCGAACGCCCGGTCGAGCCACGCCTTGCAGCACAATACACTTGAGAATGAGGAACTCATCTTTCAGCGGATCCGCCTGCAAAGGTTGAGGAAACCCAAACTTGTTTTAGGCACGTGGCACGATGAATGACCACATGACCAACACAAAAGGGAGTCATTAACAAGAGGACAGGCATGGCACATCATGGCACAATCTTCACGCATATGTGATGTCATTTATAGTTTGTTTCTGGCCGTGCAGCCTTAAAGAGCATGACAAACTCTGGAATCATGAGTATTTGTGAAGTCCTCTTGACAACCACCAGGCAGGAGTTGGCATGCCCTCCATACCAGCACCACCGTAACAAACACCACTGGCATTGCACAAACGGTGCAGGACAGCATTCTAAGTATGTAGCGAAAACGTGTGAAACACTTGAGACTCCCCATCTTGCCCATGAAGAAACCATCTCACAAAATCCTCTATGGTGAAATTCTACTGAACAAACCACCTCACAGAAACGTTCCTCCCAATCCACATCATCTCCATCTCACATCCGCATCGTTCGACGCGCTCCACGGTGTTCGACGCGGACCACCGCTTGCACGGAGGGTCCGTATGACTCCGGTAGCTTTCAGGGCAATGCTTTGATTGCCCCGGGAGGACCGCCAAGGTTTCAGGGCGACCCTGGTCGCCACCGCAGTGAACGCCGCTCCCAAGCAGTGGCATGCTGTTCCTCTGGAGCGAAATGGCCGACCGAGCTGGTGATCGGGTCAATGTTGGGGAAAAGAACTGAAAGACACTGCAATGATCCTGAAATGTTTCTATTGATTAAGCCCTAGGGCTCCAACTACATCCTCAGGTGACCGGTATTCGACCCGCCTGGCACCTACCCCTGTCCCACCAAACCGGTTCCTCGAAGTGCTAACTGATGAGGTTTCTTAGCTTCCAGAAGTGCACAGCAAACCGGGTGTAGCCCAGAAGTTGTCCACTGGCCTTCACAGGATTGAGAGTGGATGGTACGAACCCCGTACGGTCAGTGGTACTGTCAGTGGTTTCAGTGGTTTGACCAGCATTTTAAAAGATCATCTTAGGGGATTTTGGGGGGTCTGCGGGCGCCTCAAACTGCCACCACGGAGCTTGTGCTATGCGTGGAGCTCGTAGCGCTCGACCACGCTGAGCGGGCTGGGTGCTGTGCTGCCGCGGTCCGCTTGGCCGCCCAGCACCAACCTGAGCTGAGTGGCCAGCATGACCAAGCTCCGGAAGAGTTGCCTGGGAGAGTGCCATGCAGTGGTTAGTTTAACTCGCAAAATGACTTCGTTACTATTTTGGCTGAATATATGCAACATAATGCTACTTCCAGGGTTGACCAAACGCAGTTCTAGCATACACCTCTCAAGCAAGGGTTGCAGGGCAGGCATGAGTTCCCCTCTACTTCCGCCATAATGTAGACCCTTGATTAATCATCCCCGCATTTGGATTGAACCTCTTCATAAGAGGGCGTGAAATATGATCAATGCCCTAAATTCGGGTGTGCCTTTGAATAGGGGGCACTCTCCAACCAATGTTTTTTTTGGTACATGTTCCTTCTTCCACTAGGGTCTTTCGTGGTGTCACTCTATTTTGATATGCACCCATTTCACCCATCCCCCCCAAATCGGCTCCCTGGCAGAGTCTGCTCGTCCAGCGCGGCGGCCGCCAGCGCGCTGCGCGACGGGAAGGGCAGCGGCGCGCAGTCCGTAGCCCACGGAGCGGCGGCACTATGGGGCCAATAGCGCTCGACCGCACTCAAGGCGGCACCTGCAGGACAAAGGCTGCCGCGGAGGGCGAAGCGAAGCGAAACAAACACGGAGCCGGGTCCGACAGTCCGGTGTTCTTGGAACTATATAGGTTCTAAATGGCCTTTTGGGGGGGGGGGTGGGTAGGATTGGGATCGAAGGGTCTGGATCCAAATGATCTTCCGGAGGGAAAACAGAGCACTGAGGTTTGGATGCCTGCTCCGATCCACCTTCTTCAGTGCTCCGGGCCAATCCTCCGTGCTCCGGGTCACCTCGGCGCCCGCCGATGGCCAAGAGCACCCCATGGCGGCCGCCCAAGGCGCTGGCCGCGAGGCCTGGAAGATCGCAAGTGGAGAAGGTGGTGCAGAGTGTAAGGATTTTTGACTTAGCAGTCTTTTCATCCGGTTTCTGGTTGCCATGTTGGTGGCACTTGGTGCCTGAACATTCTACTGTCAATTGGGATGAAGTGAGGTCTGAGAAGTAGCTGTGACAGCGCAGTCTGGCCAAACGCGCGGCGGAATTGCATGAGGGGTGAGACCCTACCATCCCGGCTTTGGGTGTGTCACCCAAGAACTGCAAGCACAAAGACACTCCATGTATGCCATATATGCCTACATTAGGGTGGTTTGGGGGGTCAGTGTAGGCATATATTTCATACATGGAGTGTCTGGGAAAGGAACACAATTAACATGTAGTCAAGCTAACAAATATAATCAGATCATTCACACTGAGGCAGGGCAAGAGATGAGCTTTATGGATTCCATCGCTTCTCCCATCTGATTTGAGGCTTTGGTACGGCTTGACCATGTTTTACCATGTTACTATAGTAGCTTCTTAGTTACTAGTAGTCATGGCCTCCAACCTACTAGCGATGGCCTCCAACCGTGCGTAGCGTCCTTCATGGTTTTGACCTCCAAGTGGTGCACCCAACGTCTAAAGCTCCGGTCGTCCAGCGGATGTGCTCACCCCGACGTACGTAGCCTTGTCGAGCCGTGGGCATGGGTGAGACGGACATCCAGGAGCCCATGCGCACGTTCAAATGCCTTAGCCGGTGGGTCAGGTCATTTCGTCGATGCGTCAGCTCCCACACCTGCCACACCTCCACAAGGTCCCATAAGCATGTTCAAACGAAGGCTGAAGTTGAAGCAACATCTTGAGTGATTTGGACTTCCTTACCGCACCCAAAGGAAGACGGGACCATAGTCGACCATAGCAGCCATAGGTCGTGCAGTGCTGTTGAATGTCAACGGTAACGTGTGTTTGTTGGCATTCATCAATGAGGTCGATGGACAACTACTAAAAAAAAATAAACAAATAAACACAAACACACAAAAAAAAACGGAGGTGGGAGGAACTTTTAGTACAGGGCTGATAGGCTGCGGAACTTGTGCTGCACTAAATTCACATGGATTTGATCATGTGTATGTATACTATGAGATGCCTGCGGGTGCCTACAAAATCTGGTGTTGGGAGTTTTTCCCCTCAAGAAGGATGTCCGTGCCATCCAAATCCACCGCACCTTCTGTGGCTTCCACCCCAAGCTGCTCCACCCGCGCGGAGGCCGCGCCGGTGTTGGCCTCGGCACCGCCTAGGGCATAGAGCCCGTCCAGCACAGCAGTGGCCAAAGCACTGCGGGGGCTCAAGAGGCTGGGTGCCGGGCGCCAAATACCTGGCGCTGGGTCCAAAAAGGACTCCATGGTCTCTGTCTTCGAGTTCTTCTGCAGTGGCTCTAACTGGCCCCGGCACTTGCGAGGAATGGATCTTGAAGCATCTTGAAATACCTTTGGTGCATCTTCAGCTTTGCATGGTTCAGAATGATCTACGAGCATTCTTCCCTGCAAATCCTTCTCTAACTCCTGTTTGGGAGATGGAAAGAGTTGGTGAAGGCTGCTGATGAAGGTGTCCTATATAGGGAGCTGATGGATCATGCAGCTGTGAGGCAGGGAGATTTGTTGGGCTGTGCTACTCAGGGTCAGCCAGCTAAACATGCCAACGGCCAACTCAAGTTCTGAAAGCCATATTGTTGAACGACAAGTGCAAGAAACAAGTTTGACCAACAAACCAAAACCCCGATGGTCTATATACCAAGAATTAAGGCTTCCAAGTACTAAAGCACATAAAAAGAATCACAAGCAACAACCGATGTCTCATCGCCCTCCCTCCTCACCTCCCCAACCCCCACGCTCCGGATTCGACCGGATTACGAAATACTGTGCTTCCATCGCCAAAACCAGGAACTGGTGGATACGATGAAAGAAACCCCAAACTGGGGAGGTGAGGCGAAGCCGGCGAAGCAATCCAAAAGACATGGATGGTACCTCATCACCGCAATGGATGGCCAGGTGGAATGCTATAAAAATACCAGGCCCACCCAATGGACACCCATATTGGGCACTACTTAGATGTCCATTGGACACCCAAACAGGATGGTCCAGGTATGATGAATTAGTTAACATGGTGAAGAAATGCTCGCAACTGCCACTCCCACTGTTGAGGCGCCTTCGCGTGGGTCCATGCATTCCACACTCTTGAGGCGTCGACCCTCGGTGTTGAGGCCACCCACCACGTAGATCCGCCCCTCGTGCGCCGCCGCGGCATGGTACGCGCGCGGCACCTGCAGCACCGGTGGGATGAAGCGGTCCAAGGTGGGAAGCAAATGAAAGGATTGGAGCTCTTGGGCATGGAGCAAGGGCTGTAGATCCTCCTGAAGCCCCCTATGAATCATCCTTTGAATCAGCTGTCAGAATAACAGATCTAGAACGAAACGCCACAACATCTACTTAGTATCCTGCATGCATGTGTATATTGACAGTCTACAGTTACAGTAGTATTTGGATGCATTGGGCTTCTGCAACTACCAAACAGGAGACTGTGGATGTGACCAGCCCTCAATCATTGGATGCTAAGATGTGGGGTTGGAGCGGAGCAACAATCTCTCTAAAGCGCAGATGGCGCAAACAAACAGAAGCATCATGAATAAGAAGTCAAACAGGCGTGTGATGGTGTTTTTCTGTGTGTCAATATGTTCTAAAAATGTTGATCGCTCATGATCATCCCAGAGTTATATTGAACTACTTACCTATACAGAGTGATCATCCCAGAATACCTTATTGAACTACATACAGAGTGATCATCCCAAGAGTTATTGAACTTGCTACCTCTGTACAGTGGGATATGACTATTTACCTTGTCAGGGCCCGGGCCCCCACGACCGACCTGGAAAGGCGCCACATCCACCTGAGGGCGCCGGCGTCTTTCGGAGCGGCTGGGGCGTGTTTGGGGGAGCGGCTGGGAGATGATTTCTCCGAGGAATAGACATGTAGATATCATTAATTTATGTATATAATTAACATATAGTTGTTTGAAATGTGTCGATATACGTCTCATTACAGTACATATAAGTCACAAGTCCAAGCAATATTTATATACATACAAGTCATATCGAATCACTACAACCTCCCGAAGAAGAGCAAACTCACGACTTGGCCCTTCTAAACGTCCCAAATTGGAAAGAAGGCACAAAACTCACCATTCACCCATCCTCCCCCCACCCTGCTCCGTTTTCCAGGCATTCCAGGCCACCCACTGCTCAGTTCCCACATCAAACATCTCCACCGTCGCCACTACACTGCTCCGTGTAGCGCTCCAGGATCCCCCCAGCGCATAGACATGGCCACCAGTGGCTGCGGACGCCAGCGCTTGACGTGGTGTGGACAAGGGCGGCAGGGCGGTCCAGGTGAAGGAGCCTTTGTCAATCACCTCAGGGGTCTCGGGGAAAAGAACACAAACATATTTTGGATATTCTGTCCACTGTTTCGAGGTTCCAAGGATCGGGGAAAAATCACCCTAAGCAGAACCAGGACATGGCTGTGGGAGTGGCTGTGGGATCAATGATGATCCGTCTGAAAACCACGCCTGTACATGAGGGCATGTCTTGAGAAACATGGTCCGCTTGCAACTGCTAGCATACCCACTCGCGCAAGCTAGGGATTCCATTCCCTCCAGCATTCCTTACGTCCATTGACGACCCAAATATTATCTGTGGTCACGTGCTATGTGGAGCGGTTTTTGATGGTATTTGAGAAATCTTTAAGTCAAAGTGTAGAAACAGCGTCCAGGCAAACGAAGTCCCGAACCAAGTGAAAGCGAGGTCGAAGCGGAACGAACCGCAAACACGCGCCGGTTTTCCTCAAGCTTTGAGCCCACCCAGCTAAGGGCGGTATGAGTTGGTTCAAACCTGATCGCTCAGCGAGCGATTCACACGGGGAGGAATGGTTCATCTCAACCCGCTGGAAAACGAATCGTAGCTCATCTGCCACGATTGGATGTCGTGCCTCAGGCACCACCCCCTCGGGTAGACCATGCGATCCGGAGGGGTTCCTCCGGCTGCACAGTAGCAGCAGCCCTTCAGCACCAGCCGGTTGGCTTCGCACAGCTGCTCCGTGATGTGGCAATCACGGTGGTGCCAGCAGATGCCCTTCTTGGACAGATAGATCTCGTGGTTGAAGGGACACTTTTCAGCATGGTCATCCATCTCGCGCTCCAGTGCGCGAGTAAGGGACTGGGCATTGAGGGCGAGGTCACTCAAGGCGTAGACCTCTTCCTGGGAGCGTGCCTGTGCAACCCTTGCCTCTCGGGCTGCTTCGAGGCTGTTGTTGGCTTCGAACTTGGAGATGCGTAGCTCATCTCTCAACTCACGAACTTGTTCTCGAAGCCTCTGACTCACGATGGGCTCATTCTTTTGGATGCCAATGTCATACTTGATGACAGGCTCAGCGCTTTTGCCGCCAAGGTAGCGGCCAAGAAGGAAAACTCCAGCCATGGCAATCAGCTGCAAAGCTAAGCAGCTGAGAATCCAGAACCAAAGAACTTGATCTTCTTCTCGATTCGGCTGCCCTGCACAGGTGTCCTGGGCAGCAGTCAAAGTCGGCGCCATCAGCGCCAGCAGCAGCAGGACATACTTCATGCGACTGTGGAAGTCATAGTCCTTGCGGCTTGCGACATGGCTTGAGAGAAGCACATACTCAAGGGGCTTGACATACTTGGCCACAAATGCATACTGTGTGGCGTGTTCATTCTTTGAGTGGTGCTCATTCGGTAACATGTGCAGGTTCTCATGGGCTTCAAAGGGGTCAGGCATGTCCTCGGTAGCCTGAAGGTGCTCATCCTCATAGGCGTTCACATTCTTTTGCTTGTGGGCCTCTGGAGTGCTTTCTGCTATTGCAGCGGCCCGTTGCCCTTTTGTTTTCCGCTTTGCTGCCTGGTATGTTGGATCCCAGGTCATCTTCAATCTTCCATGTCGTAGTCGGGCGGAAAGGAGGACACGAGCACTGGTCTTTGTCAGACCGTCTGCAATTTGTCTTTCTGAAGACATCCAGCGAAGGCTGCCGTTGAGCTCCGTGACGCGCTCCTTCATCACGCGGATTTCCAAGCTAACCCGTTTGTCGACCACGGAGGAATTGATGCCTTCTCTGTGAAAGGAATCATACAGAGCCTTGGCGTCAGTTACCAGGATGGGCTTGAGGCTGGAGGGCATTTGGATGAGGTTCTTCAACGTGATCTTGGGATCCATCAAATGCTCCCAGTAGCGGCAGGTAAAGTCGACCGCATCAGCAGCTTGCCCACCTGATTGTGCCTCTGCAGCCAAAGAGCTGCGGGCCACCCTCGGCGTCCGAAAACTCCGCCAATCCACAATGTGGTACTCCCCTTCTTCTGGTGAGTTGACCAGCTTCTTGTTCATCAACATGGAGATGTAGCCACCCTGAGAATTGCCGTCCGTGCGGCTTGCAAAACCAGCATCAAAGAAAGTTACCAGTTGCAGTTCCAAAGGGTGACCAATGTAGTTGTACAACAACATCTTTGTTGTCCTTACTGAAGCGCAGGAGCTGGTTGCATTCATGCAAGGTCTGCACGGTGGCCTTGGTGATCTGGCCTGAGAGCATGGATGTGGAGCACTGCAAGTGTGGTGAACTCTGAACTGCGGGCCATTGTAAGGAACCAAGTAGGCCACGAACTTGTGTGATTTCTCTTTCATGCAGTGACTCTGACATGGCTCTCTTCTTGTCGAAGGTGATGGGCGAGATCTTGGACATGTAGTTGCCCTGATGCAGCTTCCGGCCTCCTTCTGGTGTGGACTGTAGCTCGCAGCCACAGTACTCGAGAGTCTCGAGGTCTTCCTTCCACTCCCGGAAGGAGAAGTTGTTCTTCAGGTCCTTGATGACCTCCTGGTAGCGAGGAGACAAGGTGCAGCCGCTGCCCAACATATCATCAACATGCATGATCACCATTCCGACCAAACGTTCAGGTCCAAGGCTGCTCACCTGTTGGTGTACCTCATCTTTCTCATCATAGGTTTTGCTGTCGGTCTCATAGATGAGGAAGCAGCAGGGGTCCAGTGGATGTTGGCGTAGACCAGCACGGAGAAGTCTGTCCACTGCTTCAAGGAACCATCCTCTTGGGGCGTCGATCTGCCCGTAGCAGGGTTTGAGCAACAGCATCCTGGAATCCTCATCAGCGCCCAGGAGTTGGGTGCATTCGGCGGGAAGCTTGACCCACAGTTTGCGAGTCTGTGGTCGGCCTTGTAGAAAAGCCGTGGACACGTCGGCCGTCCAAGTGTTCCACTTCATGTTGGCGGCCAGGGACAAGATCATGCTGCGGCTCAAACGTGTTGTGGTAGGACTGGATGTGGCCACAGTACCCTCAAGTGCATCGGGGTCGTTGTATCCTCGCACGATCAAGCGAGCTTTGGCCCGTGGACTGCCGTCGGGGTGTTTGGACCACTTCAAAATCATCCTGGAGGTCAAGGTTCTTGCAGGATCCGCTTCGTCCTTGTGCTGGAAAGTCCATACACCATGGTCGAAAAAGGACTTCAGTTCTTTGACCTTTGCCTCCTTGAAGAGTGCTCGTTCGTCAGGTCCAAGTAGGCGTTCATTCACCCCGTTCTTGTCCTTCTTGAACTTCTTTGTGCGGGCCAACTTCTGGCTCTTTGCTTCTTGCTTGGCATTGGTGTAGGCCTCATGGTGACCAGAGTACATGGCCATCTCCTTGCGAGTAGTGCCATCGATTTGGAAGACTGTGAGACCTGTCCAAGCATCCTTGGTATCTGCTGGGGCTGAGGTGTCGGTGCCGTCATCTGTGTAGAGGCGGCTTTTGCCATTGGCTTGATGAACCATGGTGACTTTGACCTTATCAAGGTGTTCGAGTGGCACTGGGCAATCCTTCGGGAGGTGCTCGATGTGCATGCGGCCTCTTCTTGGGATCACATGATGTCGGATGAGACACCCAGCTCTGATTTCCCAGTAGTCTGTGGTGCGACCAGTGAGGCTGATGTAGCCTTCTTCATCGACATGCCAGCCTTCAGGAAGCCAGCCAGGATCAATGTCTTCAACCACAAATCCTTGGTCGCCAATCGACTCATTTGGAGGCGGTGTTGGTGCTGGTGGTTGGGGTGCTTCATATGGTTGGCTGTGCTGGTGATGGCGGTTTCGCCATGGTGCGAAGCTGATTGTCTCTTGTCTGCTGAACCTCAGTCGTTGCTGTTGGAAGGTGAGATGTCGCCTTCTGGAATGGGAATCTGTGCGCCGTCGGGTTGGTCCTCTGTCTCGGCGGGTGCCGCTGGGGATGCCTGAGCTTTGGCGGCTGGTGCCTCTGGTGCCGGGTCTGGGGAATATTCAGGAGGTGCCGGTGACACTGACAAACGAGGTCGCTGTCGTGGGGGAGCCATTTCATGATCACTGTCGGACTCCAAGTTGTCACTGGTGCCATGTTCATCGTCTTCAACATCAGCCAGGTGCTGTCGATTAAGCCGATGCAGGTCATAGTACCTGGTGACTCCACGGGATCGCAGCTGGCGAACTGTGTTGAGGGCAAGTTGTGTGTCATCAAGTGCATGATCCATGCCCTTGACGTCGGCCCTGATGTGATGTGGTGCACATCTGATCAGCTGCGTCTTGAAGGCGAGCCAGTAGACGGAGACCTGTGGAGTGTCAGTGTCCTGGTGGTACTCCTTCATCACCACATGTGCAGGACCAAGCCATCTGATCTTGACCAAGTCAGGCTGTCGTGCATCACGCCAGAACCAAACACGCTGTCCCAGACTGTATTCGGCATTGGTTCCCTTGTACTTCATTTGGAGAGCTCGTCGAAGGCGGCGATCAGCATCGGCGTCCAGCAATGCCTTCTTGGCACTATGCCGCTTGTTGAGCATGTCCTCAAAAGAGGCGTTGCCACCAAAGTGTGAAGGGTGCACGGCAACGGACAGAAGATCGCCGGCAAGGCTAGGTTGATAGCCGAGAACCCATTGTGAAGGGCTGAATCCAGCGACCATCGGAGTGGCATTGAGCTGTGGCACAACGAAGGTGAGCGCCTCTTTGATGCCTTCAACGTGATCAACCTTCACATCGTCGAGGTAGATCTCAACAGCTTTTCGGATCAAGGCATGGCGTCGTTCGACGATGGCGAGGCGTTCATGGGCTTCACCTGGTGCCACTTTGTGTTGTAAACCGTGAGCTGTGGTCCATTCATCCATGATGCCGCTGAGCCAAGGTCGTCCTTCATCTGTCAGGAGCTGGCCAGGAACACCAAAGTGTGCAATCCAGAAGCGCTCAAGGGCCTTGATGTACTCCTCGGACCGTTCGGATCGAAGGAGGCAGGCAGCAGTGTAGCGAGTGGCCATGTTAACAATGCTCATGATGGCATACTTTGTGGAGCCCCTTCGAATCCAAAACACATCGGCCTGGACAATCTCATTGAAGTTCTGTGCGTTCTGGGTAGGTGCAGGTGCAGCATCGCCAGGCTTCTTATACTTGGCGCAGGCCAAACACTTGTAGCTTTGAGCAGCTTGCAGGATCGCTTCCGAAGCACCTCGGGAGGACAGCAACTCAGTCAGAGTGGTCGGTGAAGGATGTCCCAAGTTGCGATGAAGACGCTGAACCACTCTGATTGCTTCCTGCTTCGTTTCCGCGCTCAGTTTCACTAGAGCGCCTGTCAGCTCTTTCTCCTCGGTGGCGAAGGCGTAGTCCACGGTGTAGTGAGCATGCTCCCACAGTGTTGCAGGCTCATCAATGCTCAAGGCTCCAGCAAGACTTGTCGCCAACCCAGGTTGAAAATCTTCCATGTAACGGGTGCGAGAGCCAAGACCTTGTGCAGAGCCTTCGAGGCGGCAGTGCTGGTGATCGTGGAGACATTGGAGACACATAGTTTCCTGCACAGCCTTCTTGGTGGTGAGGATCCGAGTGTTCTTGAGAACAGGTCGCCATTGATTGTCCTCATCAAGGCACTGAGCTCCATACCGACATTGAGAGAAATCGGTCAGTCGACCAGGTAGGTCACGAAGTGCTCGAGTTTGCCATGACTTGGCATCGCGAGGCTGCTCGATGTGAGCATGTCTTCCTCCCTTGACCTGTCGAAGATAGGCCTCGCGGACAAAGCATAGATGTCGGTCATGATGCCATTGGCGAGCAGCAACGAGAGCTTCCTGCTGGTGTGAAGTTCTCCGGCCAAGTGACTGCATGCGAGACCATAACTTGCAGACCGGAGTGAGCAGGAGTTCTTCTGGCATCTCGTCATCGAGGAGGTCCAAGAACTGCTGTTGGTGGTCGAGGGAGTCGAAGTTCCAGCCAGTGTCCAGGGAGAACTGCCTGGTTTCCATGCCAAAGACTGCTGCCATCTCAGAAGTGCGGGCCTTGCCACAGTATACTTCCCATAGGACCCTTGGTCTTGGTGGTCGATGCAACTCCTGAGTGAGGTAGGCAGACATGTCGTTGATGTGGGTGGTGAGGTGCACATCCATGGTTTTCAGCAGTTGACCCTTGATTCGGTTGGTCTGGTCATCCTTTGTCACATGTCCATCGTGGACTTGGAAACTGTGCTCTTCCTTGACAAAGTCGGGGAGGTAGAAGCCATCCTGTTGGTGGACATCAGGATCATTGGTCTTCAGTTCACACTGTGGCTTGCTGGGGTCGTACTCAATCAAGTCGTGCTCGAAAGTGAGGGGCCACAGATACTCTCCCTGTCGACCGAGCGTGGCCGGTTGCCAAGGTGATCCGCCAATCTTGAGCTTCTTGTTGGCGAAGTCCATTGTCATGCCCAAGGCTTCGATGATGGGTCTTCCACACAGCAAGGGCGTGTTGCCCGGCAGCAAGAACACTTCAACTGTTCCGTACTTGCCATCAACGAAGACCGGAAGGTGTGTGCTCCAGTCGGACCATTGTGAGGCGTCTCCACCGAACTGAAATCGTCTCCGGCCTTTTGTCATCTTGATGAGGTCGGTGGGATAGCCAAGGTCCTCATAGTGCTCCAGCAGCTTGCGAAAAGGGCCATAGCCTGAAAGGAATGCACTTGCACCAGGATCCAGCATAGCGCAGTCAGGTCACTCCAAGCCGTTGGCGTCTTGGAAGGTGAGGAGAGCAAGTTCCTCGGGTTGAGCTGCAAATGCCATGCCTTCCGTAGGAGCGGGCCTCTTCGTTCCAGCCTTGGAGGCTGAGCTGCTTGAACCTTGTGGGCAGTTGGCCGCCCAATGACCAGGTTGGCCACACCTCAGGCAAGTGAGTGCTGCACGAGCTCTTCCTTTGGGATCTGCTTTGCCAGCACCTTGAGGTGGGTAGCGAATTGTCGTCTTGGCTTTGGACTTGCCAGACTTGGTGCCTCCCTTCCCCTTCCCTTTTGAGCGCCAAGAGGAAGGTGATGATGTAGCATTGGATGCGGGAGACACAGGAGCTTGTGAGCCATCGGTCAAAGCTACCACTGGAAGATATCCTCTGGCCATCTTCAGCTCTTGGAACCGTTTCCGAGCATCTGTGTACGAGGCAAAGGCGTGGTCGTACTCTTCAGCCATGTGTTGAGGGCTGACAGGCTCGGCATCGGGATCAGGCCACTGTTCTTCACCATAGTAGCCTGCTTCATTGTCAAATTCGTCGGGCTCCTCAGGCTCGTAGTCATAGTCCTCGTAGGAGGCGTAGGTGAGTTCTTCAGTCCAATCACCTTCATAGTAATCTGACTCCCATGGCTCTTCATCGTCATAGTCGTCGGCCATGTAGGCACGGTTGTTGCGCCATGGTGCAAAGCCAAATCGCTTGCGCTCCATCGGCCAGGTTCCTCCCTTGTAGTCTTGACCGAGCAGCAAGTAGAGGGCCTCTATCACATCTTTCTTTTCCAAACTCGGGGCCTTCAGCGTCACCATCTGTCGTTGCTCCTTGGAGATGGAGGCACGTCGCAACAAGTGCCAGCCCTGAACTGAGGCCGGAAGTTCGACCTTGTGTTGTTGGAGCTTCCTGTAAGCCTCTTCGTGGTCGGCCACGAACATCAACAGAGTCTGGCCGCTTGTACGTTGGAGCAGGTTGAAGTAGCCCTCAAAGTCGTTGGGCAACTGAACTCGGGCATCGTATTGGAAGTTCGCATCCAACGTAGCAATGATGCGGTCGAAGGATGACTCCTTCTCCAGCTCCTCGAGGCTCCAGTCCTGGAAAAGTCGCCAGGTAACTCCTTGGAAAGATCCAATGATGTTCAGGACGGACTCATTGCCTCTCTTGGTGAGCATCATCTTTCGATGATAGAGATGGATCCGCTGGCGCCATTCTTTGTAGTCGGCCGGTTGGCCTGAGAAGGTGGGGACATAGCTATCCCTCAGGTCTGTGTAGCTTCCTCCACCGTCTCGTGAGCCGGAGGGTGCCTGGGTCTCAGTCTTCTTCGGAGGCGGCATGGTAGGATAGAGCTCTTCAATCACCTGCTTGGTGGCTGGGGTGTTCAGGTAGCCAGTGCACGAAACCAAGCAAAGGTGGAGGCAAACACAAAGAGCTCTTCGAACCGTCCGTGACCCTGGTCTTATCCCGGACCTTCGGCTCGTCGTCGCGAAGTGCGCAGCGGAGCCCCTTCACAGGGCTCCGCTACCAATGTAGAAACAGCGTCCAGGCAAACGAAGTCCCGAACCAAGTGAAAGCGAGGTCGAAGCGGAACGAACCGCAAACACGCGCCGGTTTTCCTCAAGCTTTGAGCCCACCCAGCTAAGGGCGGTACGAGTTGGTTCAAACCTGATCGCTCAGCGAGCGATTCACACAAAGAAACATTCATCGATGCATCATGTTTCTGGCAAAATTGCTCAATTCCTACTATAGTATATAACTCTGCCTACTAACCCAGCAAAGAAAACATTTATCAAAATTTATCAAAATGGTTTCACACCACGAAGTATACTAGAGTTCTACGAGATTCAAAGAATTATATATAAGAAATAATCATATATTATCGATACCACCTGCGACTTGTAAGTCTACAAAGGCCTCCATGTCGGAGACCAGTTGCTTTCGGTGCTGGTAGATGGTATTTTGTCCTTGAACCCACGGAGGCACACCTTCCAATGGGCAAGTAGTCATGCCATGTTGGAGACCAGCCTATTAAGAAGGACTATATATGGAGGTCGACCCACCGGACTTGCTCGATGGTAACTGGCGTCAGTCAATCTCGCAGCTGCTTCGTGAAGTCGAAGTGACATGGACCGCATCCAGCGAGCAGCCTGTGGCATCAGCACCTGTGGAGCCAAAAGGACGTGGGATGAACAGTGGTGCCAGTGGTGCCAGTTGAATGGGGGAGACGGGTAGGGTGACGGGTGAGGTGACATCCACCGCACCCTTTTGAACGTCATGTGTCGTCGATGTTGGGGCAACTCGTCGAATGTTACGCTTCAGTTCCAATTCGGACACCTTATAAGACGCCAAAAGGACAGCAGCCCGGCACCTTGAATACAAGCTTCTCAAGAGCAATCATGGACACCTTGAGTTCCATGGACACCTTTGTGACGGTCACACCCGTGTTCTGCTCTAACAGAACCGGCGCTGAAAAAACGAGCGCGATGAACACGATAAGGACGGCTTATTCGGACCTCTGTCCTTCGTGATCGTCGCATATCGTCTCTCCTTTCGGTTCGGTGGGACGACCGGGGGGACGACCAGGGGTGGTATAGGGTCCAGTCGCACCGAACCGGAGGATACGACTTGGAGCGTCAGATCCTATAGGGACTGGCTTCACTCATGGCGCGCTTCGCACCTCCCAAGGCCATCACGGCGCTCATGTCTGGCACTTGGGCGGCGGCCAGCTTCGCCGCCGCCAGTGGCAATGGAGGCGCTGGGTGCCAGGCTGCCTCGCGCCAGGCAGCTGCGAAGGCAGATCTCCTGGAGTGAATGGGTGGGAGAAGGATAGAGACACTCTGGGAAATCAGTTCACCACCTGTTTGGTATTCGGACACTTCAGCCCGAGCGATGGCCGCTCATTCCACAAAACATGCGACTGGCTTCGACCATATATGGCACATGCACCATACAAAGAAGTGGTCATCCGAAAATAAGGACCATTCATCCATTTCCACTCTTTCGGGGGCGTGTAACATCCCTCCAAAGGATGATGATGATAGGAGCCGGCCCACAGAACCCACCAAGGAGACATGCAGATGGTATTCCCGGTGCTTCTGATCCACTTCCAGCATTGTCTGAGGGACAGCATTGACGGAATCTTACCCTTCGCCGTTCGTACTGCCAAAAACATATCCAAAAGATCGCTAATTCTATGATTCATTCTGTTTCTGAACCATGCCATTTGGATTTGAACTCCTCTTTATATAGGGCGATTGATGAATCAAGAGTGTAGGTGGGTCAATGTTTGATTTTGATGGCCGACCCTTTGCACCGTCAGTCTTATGCCTTTTGGCGTACATGAAAATAGGGAGACACCTATAAGCAATTCCACTGGGAACTGGATGTTTTCTATTTGGGAACCGGGTGTCCATTCTGCAGCCGTTTCTCAAATGCCCGTGCTACTGCATTGGCCACAGAGCCCCTCAAGTCACTGTGAGTCCCTCTCAGAGACTTCATCCAGTGACAGCGACATCGAGTTTGGACCTTATTCAACCCTTCACTGTAAGGTTGTGTTTTATTCAATCCATTTTTGAGGATGTGTAGACATGTGCAGCTCTCCAAGCAGCAAATAGCTGCATTGGAGTTTGGCACCTCTTTTGCTTCAGCAGCACGTTAGCGCCCCAGCAGGTTTCAGTATATTTGCACCCCAATTTTCTTTCCACAATGAGGCTTGGAGGAGCTACTCGGGCCACTCAGGGCACCGCTCACGATCATGACCGACTGCCCATTTCCTACCTTTTTTGACACTGGTTTGCTTCCTTTCAGATTTTTCATATCACCAAGGCTCTGGAGCAGAAGCCCCGCTCTTGAGTTTGGAGATGTTGCTGAAGGGGGCAGGCATTCTTGATCAAGTCAAACATTTGCGCCCTTGCGGCATACAAATTCATAGTATTTCAGAGACAGAGTCACAGAGTGGTATAGTTCTGCGAAAGTGTTTGAGGTCTGCCTGTGACAAAGGAAAAGGCCCGCAGACGTTCATTCGGGAGAACTGGCCACATGTCCCGCTATGTCCTCAAATGCGTTTGTTTGGCCAGCCAACTTGCTTTCTAATGTCTTGGCTGAGGGTGCAAGATGACCTCTTCACACGGGATGCCAGCCATTTGCGCAACAAGGCTTGGTGGCCAGTCAAAACCAGAGTTCGTGTCTAATCTCAACTCAATTGATCTCATTGATCCCATTGCTCACTGACAGGTGGTGCTCTACACAGCCGGCTTCCCGTGCAAAGCCTTTTCCCCTCTGAGAGTTCACACAGATTGGCTCAACGATATTGAAGCACGCCAGTTTTACAAAGTTCGGGACACCATTCGCGACATTCAACCTTTGGTGCCTCTTCTGCTTACAGGGATTCAGTGTCCTTTATTCGCTAGACACCTTGTACCTGTTTAAACTGTACACATTTCTGCGCTTTCCAACTCTCAGGTTGTCCTCCTGGAGAATGTACCAGGAATCTTGCCAGTCATCGATGAGGTGAAGGAGGAGCTGGGAAAATGTGGCGATTATGAACTCACGTTACCAGTGATAGACCCGACGCATGTCTGATTTACACGGTGACATTTAATTGATTGTTGCATTCACGGCCGGGCAAGGGTTCAGTGTCTGAGGATGGACCTGGGCGTCAACATTTCAAGACAGCGGATCTACTTTGTAATGATTCGCCGGGATGCATTGGCAACCACAGATTTGGACCAATCCGCCAAAACGACATTGGATTTGTTGAAGAAGAGCCAAAGAAAACACATACCATGGTCAGGTCCTCAATCTCTTGACCTTTCATTGGTTTTACTTAACCATGCAAGCCTGCGAGGTCGACCTTCATGCTGGACGATGCGAGCAAGGATATCAAACTCATCAAGCAACGGTTGGAGGTTCGTCGTACCCATGTTGAGAATACTGTACTGGAAAATTAAAGTATATGCTTGTGTGTGATTTGCTGCAGGCCAAGGAGAAAAAGTTGGAGGGCATGAACTTGAAGTCATACAATGTTTGCAGCAGGTTTGACTTGTAAATCAAAGTGTGCCCAGTCAAACTCTCGCTCACAAGGCCTTCCAAGAAACAACCGAAGTGGCGCACTACTCATTGGCAGTTCATGAAACACCATAAGGTGCCATGACTGACTGTCAAGAGTCGTGACATGTGCACTTACAATTTGTGGTCAGGTGAACATGCAGAAGGTGCACAGGAATCTGATTGCCTATGGTGGGCCCCGAACGTGCGGACTTACTGAACGTTGCACACAGGCTTGAAACACCACAAATCATACAATTTGGAAGTGCTCATTCATGTGCAGGCAATGGCTATCATGACCCAAACCAAGTCCAAGTGGGTATGCTTGGACATCAGCCAAACTCTTGGCCGAATGCCTACACTTCTCAGCTTTGATGACCCGTTCCCAGTCGTTACGTACGGCCCTCAGCAGTTAACACTGCTGACAACTAGTCTTTGAGAGTTTCATCAGGCCAAAAGGCCGCTACTGGCTTCGGCATTCACGCCGCCCACTGACTGGTGGGCAACTTTTTTCCTCCGCTGCAGCATTAGTCACTGCACTGTGACTGTCTACTATGTGAGACAAAATCCTTTTTCACTGCATTGCAGGTATTGAGAAAATATGAGAAAATGATGCTGCAAGGGTTCCCCGTTCATCGGCTCCAGTTCAACAAATTGAGCGAGCAGGATCTCCATCCACTCCAACAAAAAAAGGTTGTCAGTTTTCGTTTGTTGCAGCCCCTGCAGGATATCAATGATCTTGCTGGCAATGCAATGCACTTGAGAAGCATGGCCGCTGCTTGGTTGATCGCCTTCAAGGCAAGTGAAATTAGAGGTGAACCTTCAAGCAGCCTTGAGGTTCCTGGGGTTCAATCATGCACAGGCCTGTGACATTGGGGTGCTGAACCGCTTTTGCGCAGCAGTGGAGAAGGACTGTTGCTTTAAGTTTTTGCAGCTGGTGATTTGCATGGGGTTCCAGGAGCTTCGCTGAATTAGATCGGCCCAACGCTTTCAGCCTCATGCTCAGTGCACTCTGCCCTCTCACCTGACAACAAAAAGGTTTAGTTGGGAAAACTGTGTGAGGCAGCTTGAGCCTGCAATCCTTCTACGTGGTCCTGCCAAGTGTTATCTTTCAGAGCTTCAAGACTTGATGTAGTCTCTCATGTGTTTTTCACTTTCTCTCTCTCTCTCAATTGTCTTCGTGGCTTCAACGCAGTCGGTTCCAAGCCTTGCGTGGCCTGTAGTGGCGCTGAAGAGGCGTCACTGACCTGGGCCATGGATACCAAAAAGGAAGAGGACATCAAAGATGAGAAACTTATGAAAGAAGATGTTGGTTCAGCATCACAACCCAATGCCCGGGAGTTGATTTGGGAAGCCTTTCTCAAGGTTCAGTCCTTAGGACCTGGGGTTTGTCTTGAACACCTCCAGCTTCATTTTACCTTCACTTCCGCTTCACTCAGGTCACCGAGGACAAGAACCTTGGAGATTGGCTGCAAGAGAAGTACTCAGAACCAAACACGTTCCTTCGCGCCATCGAGCGAATTGTGTGGGGACGCGATGGAGCCCAAAGTTGTCCCGATTTGGTGACCCTCATCCCCAACTCTGATGCACCTGAGCTATTTGTTGGTCTTCATCAACTTGACTACAGCAAAGACGCAAAGAGTGGATGTGGCCTACCATCATTGATTTGTGTTTCTTTTATGGTCTAATATACACTTCTTTGAACACTATGGAACTATCCTTTCCATGTTTGTTCTTTTGCAATCCAACTTAGACTTCCCACACATGTCAACGTTGAAGACGCACATGCGGTCTATCATCTTCAACAACTTCGACCCTTTTCGCGAACCCTTACAAGTGAAGTTCCAAGATTGTGCGGATCGTCGTGTCGACAACTTCACCATCCAATATATTGATGGATTTGCCAAAGGCTTGATATGTCAGGGCATTGTTGGGCTGATTGACCTGCTTGAATCTTGAGTAGCAAATAGTCTTAGAGTAATATGTTTGTTGTTTTTGCCTACTTTCTACCTGTCTCCGTTCTGATCACTGTTTGGTTTCATCTTTGCAGCGCAAGGAGTGGCCAGAGGACGACCTCAACTCAGCCGAGTTGTTACCACTTTTGCTGTCTTTGAGATTCTTCAAGGCTTTGTATCGGCACCAAACAGATCCAACAAAGTACATCTATGATGCATTACGTCAAGGGCTCAAATGATTATTTCATACTAGACTGTTTGTTTGCATGCAATGAGAGAGTGCGTGAGCATGTGAACCGGGTGAGCAGTCGAGTATATGAACGAGTTCTATATGTCATGCCATGTGTGTGCACTTGGAATTTCCGCTGAGGTGTGGGTCATGAGACCTCAGAGAAACAGGCGCCGTCGGCCTTGGAATTGATGGGCCAATTCAAAAAGGCGATGGCGCAATTGAGAGTCTCTACCGGGAAGACACATCCAACACCAACAGCTTTGAACATGTGCATTGCAGAGTTCAACAAGCTGGTGCAGCGCAAGTATAAAGTCGATGGTCCAAAGAGAAAGGTGATCTTGAGTCTCCTGCGAGTACCCGAAGAGTTTGTGGACTTGCTATCAGGTCATTACGACAAGTTCAAGCACTCCACTTCAGGCGTGCCCCGCTCCGCTTGCATGTATCAAGAGGAAGTCTTACCCGAGTCTTACCCTTAAAAAATACATGTGTTTTTCCCGCAGCACCTTTGTTCAAAATAACAATAGTGAACAAGAAAGCTGACTTATCAGCATGTTGAAGTGCAATTCCAATTATATAGAATCAGCCAACTCAAACGATCTTGAAGTGGACTCAAACAATCTACACTGTTGTTCGACTTCTACTTTGTCCAAAGCTTTGGTTTGCCAATGGTTAAGTGGCGCGTTTGCCCATCTCGGAGCCGGACCCCACCAAAAGCTCCAAAGCCGTGCGCGCTTGGCCGGTGGGAACCTGATCAAAGTGAGTCTGAAGAAGCAGGCTCAGACACGGGCTCCAGCACAAGCTCTGTCAGCCAATCAAGGCCGAACCTTTCAAAAGAATAACATACTAAGAGTCTAAGAGTGTTCAATTTGCAATCCTCGTTAATTACTGTATGTCGGCGGAATGTGTTGAGGCCAAAAGATGCAGATCTATCTTTTCAGCATTTGGCAGCACTAAAGGCTGCAAATGAGGGAGATGACCAACAGTCAAGTGTTTTTGCGCAGAACGGTACATCGCGAAAGAGAATCAAGGAGGTCTTGAAAGATCGCAATAGTAGTGGTTGCACATGCCAGAAAGAGTCTTAGGCTCAGTCAATCATTCGGTGTCAGCTGAAATACCTTGCTTCCCCATAGATCTAACATATATTTCAAATTTGGTCTCAGTCTTCTGAGGTGTTGGAAGCTCGTGAGCTTTAAGTCCTTGGTCCAAGTATGTGCTTTGTTTTGGAGCCTTGCGACTTAGAAAAAATTGGCGTACTAATTGGTGGTGTCATTGCTACTTGTGCAGCGGCTGTTGGTTCACCAAATAGATCCTCTTGACAAGGCCAAGGGTGCACAAGACGCAGTGCTATGGTCGATTCAATCATCTCCGGCAGCGGATCATGACAGTGCATCTGAAGACTCCTATGATGCTTCTGATGATGATCAGCCGAAATCTAGAGTCCATGTTCGGTGGAGCATTGGAGGCCACTTGGTGCTCATTGACACTCATGTCCCAAATTCCCCTCCACTTGGTCGCAAACATAAAGTCGCTCTCACCCAGGCCAGCAAGTGTGCAGAAGATCATTCCAACGTTTCCTTGCCGTTGGATGTGGACGGCTGAATCGAACCCGACACAACTTCAAAGGTTTGGATGAGAGGACTTTGGGTGGTCAAGGCCAGGTGTTCAAAGTTGAATGTTACTGTTTTAGGGTGGACCTCATTCATGCCTCCTGAACCATTCATTGGACATGAACAGGCCCCCGTCCAGCCCTAGCCACAGCATCCATCCAGACTTTTCTCCGGAAGCTCTACTACTCTATTTCGGAGACTATGCCAACCAAGTTTCTAAGTTGAAGAACTTGCATGTTCATCTCATATCGCATCCCCAAAGAGCTCCAATCAAATGTCTGTGATCTCAGGATTCTCCAAACTGGAGCTGAACTGGACTCCCCCGAAGCACGTGAGCAGCTCCTGCAAGAGCTTGTCGACCAGGCTTTGGAAGGGCCTAGCACAAGGCTCGGAAAGCGGGACTTAAAGCACCTCGCCGAAAGGGAGTTACCGCCAGGGAACTGGGGTGGAGTTTACTTGCTGTACCAAGCGCACTGCTTGGCTACCAACCAAAAGGCTGCCTCCAGAGCACTTTTTTACGAGATCTCAAAACCATGGAGACGTGTTCTGAAGTTTCGCAGACGCTCGCAGCACTCAGTGTGCACTGTGTGCGACCGTCTTCGCGCCCAAATGAGACACGCCACCAGCTTTATAGACAATGCCAAAGCAGCGGACTCTTTGTTGGGGCATCTTGCGATGGTGTGGCGATGTCGAGAAACATATTTGGCTGCGCGCCAAGAGAGTCGAGACCGTGCGACTGGTTTGTTGACCTTAATTTGCGACGGGTTTGACAAAAGCAAACCAGCAATACCACGATGGGGCAGAGGGCAAAAGCCCAAACTCAGTGTATTCGAGCGTGTTCCTCGGACATGTGTCCAGCTGAGTGCAGTGATTGCACATGGATACGGTGTGAACTTGTACCTGACAGAAGAACATGCAGAAACAGGAGGTTCATACACGTGGGAGTGCCTCCTCCACACGGTGAACAAAGTGTGGAAACTTTGCCGCCAGAAAGGACAACCCTTCAGTAAATCGTTGCTCGTCGTGTAAATACTCTTTTGATGGTTGCGCAGCATGCTACATATCGGTGTCACTCGCGCTAGCGCCGCAAGGCTTTACATCCAGGCGGACAACACGGTTCGCGAAGTGAAGAACGCGTTATCAGGAATGATGATGGCAGCGCTTGTTTCATCACGGTTTTTCAATGAGTGTGGACATCATCATCTTCCAAAAGGACACACTCACGAAGACATAGGCAAGTGACAGGTGTTTGATGTGCAACATGTGATGTCCTGTCAATTCCTGTCAGCCTTGAGTTATCCCTTGACTCATGGCTCATTCCTGCAAGATGGGCTTTTTGGATTGATAACCACCTACCTCATGACGGCCACTGATGAAGTGCAAACGCCAAGTGATTTCAAGAGGCGCCATACTCATTGTCCTTATTTGTTCATCCCCACTCATGAGCACTAGTTGGACATTTTGACACACCAGGCTCTTGGAAGCCCGGGTGGGACCCATCTTTGAGTCTAGAGGGGAGTTCTTCGAAGTTGTCTTTGTGGACAGGGTCTTGCCCTCAATGCACCATGACAGTTTTGCAGGTTGCATTGGTTGGATTCAACAGCATATTGGCTCTTTGGTCCCAAAACCTCCTTGGAAGGTCCGGCCTTGGAAAGATCTTGTTCCGCAAGTTGCCACGATGAGCAATTGCTACAGGCCCAGGACTGGCGACGATGAGAGAATCCCACACAGTTTTCTATTCAGAAGAAGGGATTGTCACTGGGTCAATGACATGGTACACATGTGCTAAATGACTTCTCTGTCCAGTGTGTGTCTGATGTACTCTGGATGTGCCGAGACTCTGAGGTATGCCAGCCCGTGTGCCTACTGAAGAACGCCTGCCCCGGCGATACAACACCGCTGCCAACGATGTCTTTTGCCTTCTGAAGCACGATCTGTGCGATGATGAGTTGGCCCAGCCGGCCCTTTTGGTATGGCCTGGAGAGTCCAGTGATCGGATTCAATTGTTTTGGCAACAAGCTGTGAACCATACTGGGGTTCAATCTGACCTGGACCCGGAAAGGGCCCGAGATTTGTTGGAATTTTGTGAGTCCCTGGAAAAATGGCCACAATACAGTCGTGCTGTCCATTACTACAAGGGACTGACTGGGGAAATCCCACGCGCACGGTACAATGCACCCCCACTTGAGTTTCTGGTGGCTGGTGGGCAAGCTCCACGGCTTGATATTGTTCGGGAATTGCCCCAAAGGGAAGAGCGACCAATTCCCTACCGAATGAATGTGCGGTTTCACAGAGCCTGAGCTTCCTCGATGAGCCACGCGGGAAAAATGATCAATGCTTTTCTCACCGCTTCTCCCACGTTTGATTCTGGATGTTGGATGTTGATGTCATTCAGAAACCTTCAGTCAGTTTCCTCAAGCCTTCCCCTCCATCAAGCCTTTCCCTTTGTCAGCCCTTCCAGCAAGCCTGCATTTCCTCCCTTGCAGGCTTTCCGTACAGCATCCTGGCCGAGGGTCACTATGTGCCAGGAGTTCAGCGCTGGGAGACGCTGTCTAGGTACAAAGGGAAGGACATCTGGAAGACCATCATGCACATCACCGAGCAGTGTACAGTGTTGTATGGAATGAGGGTCATTCTATCCTTTGAGACCCAAGTGGGGAAAGACTCCTCAGCAAAGAACAAGGCTTCGGATGTAAACAATTGTTTTAAATTGGTTCAGTCTCCCCCACCAACCAGATCCCACCCTCGCCCCTTTTCAGAAAGCTTCGCAAATGAGCCTGGACGATCACCTTGAGCTCATGGACAACGTCCTGCTTTGGCTGTGGTTGGAACCCAAGCTGGAAGCATCTTTGGATGGCGCTATGATGGCCCGGCTCCAAAGCATGTTCATGAATGGGTGCCTTGAAGCAATTCTGGGATGGAAGGTTTTGAAGGGAAAACCCGTCACACTTCCCCGGGGGTGGGGGAGGTCCAAAATGTGATGGGTTTTCCGGAAAACCCGTCACAAATCAATATGAAAACCAAAAACCCGTCAGACTTGAACCAGGAATTCCCAGACAAATATGTGACTGGTTCCTTGGATAAGCTAGGATTTGTGATGGGTTTTCCAGAAAACCCGTCACAGTTTGGGGCTAGACAGGTCCTTCTGAATCGTGATGGGTTTTGATCATTTTCGATTTGCAAAAATTCTCAGTTTGCAAACGCAAAAGTGATGGGTTTTCTGGAAAACCCGTCACTTCCACCATTTCGATTTGCAAAATATTTCGATTTGCAAACCCATTACACTGGATGAATACTTATGATAATATAATATAACTACCATGTGGATATGTTGGAGGGAGAAGTAATCTGTGTTTGGTTTGGTCGGTTCTTTGATCTAGAATCTAGACCCAAGGCCCTGTGGGCAATGTTGCAGGTCTCAAATCTAGATGCAATCAGCCGACCTGAGGCTTTTAGACCAAGATCTCAGCTGCTGCTGCAAGGCAGCGGATCCTCAAATGGAATGGAACCGTATCCCATTTGTATTGGAGGCTGGGACCAACTCCAAAATCAATTTGTTACCTCAACTTTATTCCCAAGTGATCGCCGGTCTACCGATCGACAATCTGCAACAAAAAAACAGTCGTTTGAATGTGACCATGTACGGCAAGGCCATGGGGAAAAAACAAAGAAGAGTTTGTTCTTGCAGCTCAATCGAAGAGCAAAAATGCACATGCTACGTCAGTTGCTGCAGCGCTTGGATTGTTCCGCAGCCAGCTCGAAGAGGATGTGGCTTCGTATGAAGCCATGAAGATCAGGCCAACTTAGGGCTTGGTTTTGATGGCCTAAATTGTTTTAATGCGCATGACCTTAAGCGTGCATGGTTGCGTAAGATATTGCCCAGGAAACCCTGACAATATATTTTTTGCACGCAGTTACACGCAGTTCAGTTTTGGAAGATGTTTTTCAGCATTTCAAGGCACGCCTAATTTCCAGAATTTCTGAGACTGGTCATTCTACGTAGTGGAAATTGCCATAAATGCATATCGGATCATATCGGAGGGCTTCATTTAGAACAAGACAGCTTTCATCTAATGTCCCCTCTAGTTGTCTTTATTCTTTCTTTCCCATCCACCACAGCCCACAACCAACCCTTTGGTGTAGTCCTCGCACGACAGGTCTTGCCAAGAGGATTCCAAGCGCCGCCGGGAAACCTTGGCCCAGTTGCAACAAATGCAGCTCGGGTCATCATCCTTTAGCGCCAGTCTATTAGCTACTTATTCATTAGTTCTTAGATGGTTTTAGTTTGTAACTATTATACTATACAAACCCACCTCTTCCAAAAGGACTTGTGACTTGGGGTATCTTAGGGTGATGTCTGGATGGGATAAGATGGATTGTATTGGGCCCACTATACAGCTTATACCTTGTCCTGGGTAGCTTAGGCATGACAAAAGCTGGGAAGTGGTGCATCAGTTCCAGGAGGATCATCAGAAGGTCTTCATAGTGAAACCAGACCAGCCATCGCCTTTGCCAGTGATTCTGCAATGGCTAGAAGCACGTATGGAAGATTTGACATACTGTCGGCAATTTAGTGAGGAGGGGTACATCTTGTATTGCTGCCTTCCTACCATGGGAGTTGTGTCATCTCTGAAATTGGCATATGTGCATCAGCTCATAACAGGGTTCATGGCAGCACGTCCCTCAAACTCAATTTGCGTGGTCATCCACGCAAACCGTGCTTCAGAATCCAAGAAGCAGCCCGAAACTCAGTTTATGCGTTTCTACAGTAAGTGTCAAAGTGTTGTCAAAATGCACAGAAAGAAGATGAAAGAAGGCATTTGTTTGTTTGCAAAACGGCTGCCATTTAATGATAGGTCAAAGACATTCAAAGACCCAGCATTGGTCTTGTGGATTGGGTAGATTTATGATGATTTATGTCTTGACTTTGTTGGTCCTGGTATGTTCCCACTCTTCCCACACCTTCCCATGAGGCGAGCCAAAGGTGACCCTGATGATGATGATGATGGTAACGACGAACATGCCAAACAGGAGTCGGATTCAGAGAATGAAGAGAAAAATGAAGAGCAGAACCTCTTGATGAACTTCCGGTTCAGATTTGAATCAACCTTGCGGGAACCAAACCGCATGCTGGTGGTACGAGATCTAGTGGTGTCTTTTGACCCGGCCAGCATTTATGGGCAACGCAGTGGCTTCCTGAAGGGTCTACTCATCACAGTGACTCTATTGCAACAGATAGCTCATCGACTAGATAATGAATAGAGCTCAATCAGGATCATCGGGTCGGTCATAACAGTCAGTGTCCACATACAATTCGCTTTGTTTCGGGACTCAGTCAGGCACGAAATCCTGCGACGCCCAACATCTTCCACAAGAGCTCCATCTGGAAACGCGGGGTGGTTTCGGATGTGACAATGTGCCCTCGAAATGACATGTTCAAAGAACATGCATCGACATTGTCTATGCAAGCGGCCTTTACAGACAGCCAGGAACAACGTCAGGTGTTTTGGTTGCTATTTTTCGATTATGATGCAAACAAAACATAATCCCCAAGACTCTGCAAGGACCAACACCCAGTCATTGCGTGTGTTCAAGGTTCCTGGTCCCGTAAAGAGCTGTCGGTAAATACACTTATTGAATATTGACATGATGTTGAAACATGTTGAACAATATGTCCAAGAGAGCCTTTGTGCATTGCATGCAACGACATAGCATTGCTAATTTTAGCGGATGAAACCAAGTGAAATGTTTTATACTTAGTTTTGTTCGGCTTGGGACACCAAAACTCATGGTTTGATCCCAGGATTGGTCATTCATTGTCATTGTGTGTTATCTTGTTGTTGCGGTATGTTGCGGTTGTTTTGTGGTTGCTGAGATTGCAGGCTGAGAACCCAATAGCGCGAACAGCTCAAACGAAATGTTGTTTGGGAACACCTTTTGGGGTCATAAATCCTCATGGTGATGTATGGTGACAACCTGGGACTCCCAGGTGGCAGCTGGCACCAGCCTCATCCGGAAGTTGCAGGAAGGCTTTGTGTCGCAGACCTCATTGCAGAGACTGGCTTGGGTGGATGCCCATGGGTATGATGGGTGGCCAGCTTTGTCGGTCTTAGAGGTACAGGTTGTTTAAAAGAATTTTTCCTGTCAATTGGTCAACAAAAAATAGATCTCCTGTGCCTGGTTTAGACTTGAAGAAAACATGTTTAACAAACATGTCCTGTCCTGTGCCCCAGGCATCTAGCTCGCCAACAACCATGTGTGCGACAGTTGTTCACCAAGAATCAGGACGTTCCGATCGCGGTTCCAAGCTTTGCGAGCGGATCGCAACGGCCGACTACGAAGCGTGCAAGGCTAAGAAACTCAATCTTGATGGTTTTCCGGATGCCAGCCCATTGCTGGCAGAGTTGCAACGGATCTCAGGGGTAGGTGGCAACTCCCAAGTTCGGAGTGCCAGCTTCAAAGTCACTAGTCATCAGCCGAATGGTGCCCTGGTTATCAAGGAGACATTTCATGAACAGTTTGGAGAACTGGATGAGTTCCAAGAGGTCCTGCAACATCACAATAAGATGTACAACAAGGATGGAACTCGGTTGAAAGAGACAATGGCAAGCCCTCGTCGACCTGAACCCACTGAGACGGCCAAAACCGTTGTCGTTTCTGATGCAAATGAGCCCATGACATCGGAGAAGCTGGTAGCTCTTCCAAACACGTCTTGGCCTCAGACTGTTCAAGGATTATATGGTGTTCACATTGTTGTTACCTGGTTCTTGAGCAAGGAAGTGATTTGTGTTTGTCTTGCAAAGGTCCACACTGGCTATCAACTCACAAGTCAACATGGTTGTGGACCAAGCCGGTGAACGCGTTTTCTTCATGACACATGCAGAATCCGCAACATTACTCAACTTTCGGGAACTTTGTTCCTTTGGATCAGGAACATGGTGTGACGGGAACGATGCTGTTGAACTCATGGAATCAGATGCAAAGTGGGTGTCTGGGGTGGTCACGTTTGACACACCAATCGTGCTAGAGAAGAAACGGATTTTGACACACCTCGCCAACCTCACATGCTTGGAGAAGCCCACAAAACTACGAGACCTCTTGACTCTTATGGAGGATGCGGGAGAGGCTGGGCACCCATAGTCAACTATTTGGTGGTGCAGAAAGAACATTGAATTATATATATATATATCAAAATTCCAGTCTGTGGAACCCCTCAAAAGCTTTGTCTATGACCTCAGCGTCTGATGTAAATAAATGGTTGGCAATCTAAAACCCAGGGGCCTTTGCAATGCACAGAGTCCAACACTTGGCAGGTACGGGTTGGCTACAGCCATCATACCGTGGATCTGGCACAGGACAGTATCAAATCAGAAAAGGCACTTTGCTTTGGAATTGATGCCCAGCAAGATGACTCCGCCCGGGAACCACCCAAGAAAAAAAAACAAGACAGCCAAAAAGGCCGGACATGTTCTTTGCAGTAAACAGTGACTAGCAAGTCTGATGGGGAAGTTGTGTGTAAACTTGTTCTCCTGCACTAGGCATCGCCGGTGACCTTCGGAGCAAAGCTGGATCTCAAAAAGTTAGTGAACAGCACTGCCTTAAAAATTGGATTCCGGGCAAGGCAGGTTGGTCTTCTGTTTTAAACTAGATGACAGCTGTGCCGGTACTAAAATTCATCACAGAACCCTTCAAAGGATTCCAATCAATCTTCATTCTGTTCTTTTTGGCTGACTCTATGCGTACCCAATTCCGCCCCAACTCATTTCCTGAGCGGCAGGCTTGAAGTTGCCAACGGAGTGACCACACTCATGCCACAAAGGCCCATATGCATCCTGACCGGCCAGCTCGATTTGGAGGTTGCACAGGTGGTTCAGGTTATGTAGAAGCATCATGGAGGGATGTCCTGTGAACAAACCATTCGCTATGATGACTTTATACTTCCCACTCTGCCAAGTATATATACAAATCTAAAAATATGCTTTCTTCTCTCCATGCTTGCCTGTGTGAAAGTTTGTGTGCGTTTCTGGTGATATCGAAGGATGTGCTCCAAAATTATTCAAACAAGTCGATGTTGCATTCAACAACAATTACAACTATTAATTATTTGTGACTAGCTTTGGATTTATATAATCCTAAAGATTTCTGAGACATTCTTTCGACATCGGATTTTGGACAGCGAGCTGGAGATCGGCCGGACCGACCGCAGTGCCTCAAAAAAGATGTTCTGTGATACGCCATGGCAAGTTGGCACGCCCCAAGAATGAAACAAAGAATGTTACCTGCTGTGAAGCATGTTTCAAGAATCATAGGCAGGTTCGATGTGCTATATTGCAAGGTTTCAGTCCAAGCTAGAAAGGGTCAATCAAGGGAACCAGCCTTTTGAACGCTCACTATGGGGTCGGACTCTGACATCGAGTTGGTGGATGTGGCAGAATCTGCTCATCACAGAACGCCTGTCAGACCCTGAGCCTGAGATGTGCGATGTTGCACTTCTCAAATTTTGGATTGATATTCAAACATATTCAAACCAAATCAAACCATTCACTAGACACAAAACTCATGTTGTGCTGCCTATTTGCTAGTTCTGTGTGAGGGTTTGAGCCCCCATTGCAAACGTTGCTGGCTTTCAAGGCCTTCAACCTCTCGGATTTCATGCCTGAAACAACCCCACAGTCTCGGGTAAGCAGCACAGCTTTCCCAAGCACTTCCCCACATACTGCTCCCACTGCTCCAGCACGATTCCAGCAAGAACCAGCCGCAGCAGCAAAGTCATCTTCTGCAGTGACATCGGTTTCAGGCCTGACCAAATTTGCCTTGTCTTCTTTTGTTTTATGTTGACTAATGTAGGGCAGTTGTAGGTCATCCAGGTCATCATTGTAGCATAACTGTGGGTCTTGGTAATTGTAATACTTGGGCTGTGTCATTGTAATTGTCTGCGCTGATTTGTTGTGTGTTTCAACACGCATGGTCTGGCACAGGATTGCCACCGAAGTTCAATGCTTCTGGGTCTTCATCAGAAGAACCATTGGGTGTGAATAACTCACAATCGAAAGACAGCAAGCCAAAGCTGGGAGAAAGCGGAACAGGGAGGGAGAAGGGAAAGGGGAGGGGAAGGGGCTCTGGAAGAGGTAAGGGAGATAAAAAGGACAGCAACAAACAACCAAAGAAAAAACATGAAGAAGAAGATGATGATGATGATGACAATGTGGATGGTCCTGAGAGGCTGGGACAAGGTGGTAAAGATGATGATGATGATGATGATGACTGTGATGCTGATGGCTGTGCAGCGGATGATGCAAAGCCAAAGAAGCGCCCAGCTGGACAAAGTTCGCGTGCGACCAAAAACAAAAAAGGCCGGACCTTATTGAATAAGACAGACTCAACTTGGATGGCTTTTTCGTGAGGCGCCAGGGCCAAGGTGAAGGAGCCCAAGAAGCCTGGACGCAAACCGACCAAGAAAGATGACAACAGCTGCACCACTGATGATTTGAAGGCAGGCTTTCATTTTCTGTGCACCGAACCGCTTCTTTGTGTCTTGTTTCTGTGTTTTGTAGGCTGTGGCCACTCCGCAGAAACATGATCCACTTGCAAGCCTGAAGGTGCCCTGCTGGTATTCTGTAAGTTGTTCCTTGCTGATTAGTTAGCATGTTGATGAGCTCTGATCTGCTGGGGATTGCTTGCATTTGGGTCTGGGATGGGGTTCTACGTTTTCTGGAGGCTCACGTTCGTCGTCGACAATGTGTACACGCCCCTGTTGTGGAGCCTGCCATTGAGCCAGTCAACCCCATCATGGAGCCAAACCCAAAGCAGGATGGCCAGCCAGAGCCGGTCATGGAGCCAAAGCCGGTTGTCGAGCCGTTGAGTGGGTCAAAGCCAGTTGAGCGACCAACACTATGCCCGTTCGAGGCCAGGCGTCTGCACAGGTCCAAGGCCCACTACTTTGAACCGGCTCGTCATGATGCGCCTGAACATGAAAAACACATGATGGCTTTGGATGGTGAAGGTCAACCGACTGATGATGGAGCCTTTTACGATGGGTATGCATCTCTGTTCACGATGGACGATGCTGAACAGCCAGGGGGAGGTGACATGATGGATGATGAGCTGACCAAGGGACATCTTGAGGAAGGCAAGGCTTCTGACCGACTTTTGTCTAAAAGGGAAACTGACATTGTTATATATATTATTTAGTTTAATATGTTATGTGATGAATTGCTAAAACAGGTGATGGCGGTGACACTGCCCCTACTGTGTCATACTCGCCTACGTTGAACCTTGGGTGGTGGGATGAAAAGGCTGGGCCCAAGTTGTGCATTCGTGTTTGTGTGTTGTTTGTTGGCCTGGCAATCACCTTCTTTGGCAACATTGGACGCCACAACAGTTTGACTCTTCAGGAAGAGGACAAGACTTCAGCTTTGGTTCCAGACCAGGAAGAGGACAAGACTTCAGCTTTGGGTCCAAACCAGGAAGAGGACAAGACTTCAGCTTTGGGTCCAGACCAGGTGCGAGTCTCTTTTAACTTGTCAATGCTGTTTGATCAACTGCATCTTGATGACTAGGTGGCACCTTCACCGACTGCTCGTGATCTGTCAAAGGCAGGCATTTTGTTTGTTCTTGTTGTTGGTCTGGGGTGTTCATCCATTTACCTTGCAGGAGTTTGATGAAGCAAAAGCCAAGAAGGACCATTTGCCGACAAGTTCTGCTCCCTCACGTGCTGCTAAGGCGTCTACGGCGAAGGCTAAGGCTGTGATGACAAAGCCTGGAGCCAAACCAAAAGCAAAGGCATCCGCTGCAAAGAGTGCGCCTGTGAAGAAAAAGGAAAAGAAGACTGAGGATTGCTATTATTGCTATTTCTATAACGCAGGTGATTGTAAGGAACATTAAGGAACAATTGGGCCCTTATTGTTCCAGGAGACCGCCATGTGGACGATGGAGAAGTTGAAAAAAACTCTGCACAGTGCTGCGACCTGAGTTTCTTTTCCTGTTTAGCCAAGTTCTCTTCAATTCTGTTGAAATATGTTGAAATTGAGGCCTACTGCTGTGGGTGGAAGGCTTGTCAGCGCAGTGGGAACACAGATCCTGCTGCTATGCGGGAAGCTGGTAATGACTCCCGCCGCCGGTGCTTGGGAGAATTGAGGAAGGCTGGCATTCCTGTGGCTCAGGATTTTATTCTTCCCAACTGAGAATCCAAGTGAGATTCGATGTTCCTGTGGCAATTGGAAATTGCTACATTGATGTTTGAATTTTGGGTGCTTTGCGCGTGTGTACCTGCGCGACCAGGGGCAACACCAGGGGAAAATGTGTCATTGTATGCTCATGCTCTATTTGGCAGTGTTTGACAACTCTTGTCGTTGAAAGCTGTTCATGGTCCATGCATGGTCCAATGTTTTTTTTCGCATGGCCAGGTGAGATACCAACACGATGCTTTGAACCTGTTGGAGCGTGAAAGGAAAAATAAGTGCTTGGGGTGGATGGATGTGTGTGTATATCACCTTGGAGAAAACCATGCGACCACACATTGCCACGTGTTTGACCCTCCATGACTCAGCATTTTTAAGCACCCAGTTGCTAACTGGAAAACACCCACTTGCAATTAGAAATGCTTCTATAGGAAGACCCATTTCCCTTCAAAGCCCCCGGCAACGAAGAGAAATAGGAGCCAAAATACCGTATAGGGCTCCATTGGTATCCTCAGAAGGTGGTTAGACCCCCCCCTGGCACCAACCCCAACCATCTTCTCACGAGGTGGTTGGAGCCCTAAAAAATACACCCACCTCAACTAGCAGTGCTAGGCCACGGCCAAAAGGGCGTCTCCCAGGTCAATCTACACACCCATGGCCGAGACAAACGTCCCAGGTCCTTCGGGCCTGACAGCTCAATGGAACTTCCACCTCACAGCACGGTCGAGCTGGTCGGTGATCAGTCGGTCAGTGCAGTCGGTTCGCAGCACCATGACGCCAGCCCTGGTTCGCTGGCTTGGCATCTACGTTGGTTTGTTCTCCCTTTTGGTGGGGTCGAGACCAACAAACGTCTCTTCAATGCGTCAATGAACGAAACACCGCATCGCCGCATGGCAGTCGTTGGGCTGTGCCTTTCGGTCACTGAACATCTTCACGCCTTCGCCCGCGTCCCAGCGACGGCTCGTGGTGGGAGGCTCTTGCTCTCGCGCGCCAGTCGCTGTTTTCGGGCCAAGCGGGGGTTGAATGGCACTGCCTGGAATCATCGTGATTACGTGGATGGACCCAAAACCCATTGGGCGAGGGGTCTCCCACCCCTGCCATGGGCTGTTGACCAGCGATCCAGCCATATCCAGCCCCCCAAAAGATGTCTCACATGCTTTTGGACCATCTTCATCCAGCCAATAAACGATACAAACATCTCTCAAAAGTGCACAACAGGAACAGGCTGGGGGAACAGGCTGGTTCTTGAAAGTGTTGAATTGCCATTCGCTTAGATTCCGCCTCCACACCTTTCTGTGACTTCTCCTCGTCGAAGATCCAAAGGGTTTTCACTGGCACCTGAGTCAAAGCTTGACTAGGGCGACTGCTCCAGATCCTCAATGGAATGGGGCCTTGCCATGCCTTGCAACGCCCCCAATTGCCCTAAACTCTAAACAATAAAGCAAGAAGAACCTGCAAGAGGGTATGAGGATATAGGTCGAACCCTTTGTTGTTCTGCAAATCATGTGCAACCACGCCATCTTGCTTCTTAAGAAGGTCCAATTGGAGTTCAGCCACTCCAGTTGAACTCGGCTACGGCAACCAAATAACAGCGGCTGACTGTGTTTAACCCTGAAGACCCAAGGAAATTTCTCCTCTTCGCGTGCAAGAACTGGCAAATGTTTGTTGGCGTTGCCAAGGCCATCTCCAACCAACCCTCAACCCCAAGCACAAGTTTTCAGAACCTCACGAACCATCATAGACCCATTAATGCAAGATGGTAGCACTCATCATCGACCTTACAAAACCCTCATCCGCAGAAACACTCGTTGCAGGCGGGGAGGAATCGATGCTTGGTCGATCCACATGCGACGAGTGGCCTCCTTTGGGGCCTCCTGTGTCTCCGGCGCTGCAATTGAGGGGACCTGGGCTGGTGGAATGGACAGCCAGCCTCCCACCCACAGAGAGAGAGAGAGAGAGACTGTCTGGCTGACTAACTGACTCCCTCAGTTGTCCTTGAAGAAACAGGCTAGGCATGGCTAAGCTGCTTTTGCACCTGTTCTGATTTCGTGGGGAACCCAATGCCCCCCAGCCCCAGCCTAGGTTTTGGCAGGTGATCCACTAAGACCATCTAAGACCCCATGGAGCAATTCAGTTACTATACTATATAGCAGTCCCTGCAAGAATCATGGAAGTCTTGTATGGCATGGCCCCGGAAGCATGGATGAAGATGTTCCTCTAAGAAAGCGATGGCATGTGCCTCACTTCTATCGTTCCAGGGAGGGTAGCTTTCCTCGAGTGTTCCCCAAGCCAGGGATGCATCTTCCATGTTCTGCCTTCTGCTGTTGAGACCAATCAGCGTGGAGTCCCCAGGTCACCGGTCACCATGAGACCTCTGACCTCTCTTGCAGCACCCCACAGGTCCAAGGACCCAGACCCGGTAAAAGGGGGTCCTTGACCCCAATAAGAAGTCGATTGAGTGATTGTTCTTGCATCCATCAACTCCGAGGTGAGCAGCTCAACCTTTCGGGGTGACTCACAGGTGCCGCGTCCCCGGAGCGAACATGTGTGAGCAGCGATTCGATGATGATAGCGTAATAGGGCAGCGATTCGACCTTGGGGTGATTGTAGTTAGGAAGATTCATGCTAGGAATGGGTGCCAGCGACATGGTCAAGGACGGGCCACCCACTTGTGTTTGGAAGTCCTAGCTTGGGTAGCTTGGTAAATACCTTGGATCAAAAAGGATCAAACTCATTCCAAAATCCATGCCAGTGGCTACCCTCCCCAATGGAACGGCCAATGGCACGGCCTGGAGAACAAGAGTGTGTTCCTTTCGGGAGAACACGGCCGTTCCACTTTCTATGTAGAAGTCGAATGGAGGCTACACTCCCACTCACTAACATGACAGTGGAAAACCGCCTCTTGGTACAGGAAAGTCATTTTACCCAAGGCCATGTTCCAGTTCCTTTGTTAGTGAGTTGTATTGGCGTCCCGAAATTATTCCATGGAATGATTACATTGGGGTGGTTGACCCAGGGAGACAAAAAAGGAGCGTCATATATTCTACCAGTCCCATTTGTCGCCTCTGGGCTTCTTTCCTCTTTGCGTGCCAAATGACCGGCTCCTCCAACGGCTCCGGCTCCGCCGGCCGCTCCGCGCCCGGGCGCCGTGACATCCTGGTGGCTCGAGGGAGTACGGAAGGTCAGGCGGGGAGGGAAACGCTGGAGCCCCATCATGCGGCGAACGACCTCGGGGGTCGGTCAAGTATAAGGTGTACCACTCCTGGTGCCATGACCCGCCCTGCTCTCGGTCACCCTGGTTGCCGGTGCTTCGGTCACGGCCGGGCTTGAAAAAGATCACTTCGAAGAAACTGGTTGAGAGTGCTTCAACATGCTTACTAGCAGTCAGAAGTCACAAGGTATAGGGGTGCTGAACGAACGGAGGAAGGAAGGATAGGGGTGCCCTTGTCGTCACATCCACAGCCCCTGGATGGGACGTTTCACACCACCCCGAGCTCTGTGACTCCTGGTAAGCATTCTTTAATCCCTCAATAATCTATATGGGACGAAAAACAACTATGCCGCCCCATTCTGAATCGGGTGAACTTCTGAATCGGGCCTCTCATGACCTATAGCTTCTGAATCGCAATCGCAGTTTCTGAATTTCTGGTCCCAGCTGCGCCTGTTCCAAGCCACACCCATTTAGACAAAACGATCAGCAAGGGCAATATAGTCGTCTTCTGTTCGCCCCATGTAGCTCGGGTCAGCCATTTTCCACTCCCAGACCCTGACGTCCTGGCCCCCTGGGTCCGAGTGTTTTCCTCTACCAACCAGTGGTTATCAGGGTCCATGTTAGTCTTCCAGGGTGTATATTTGTCACGTCTGGGACCGTCCTGGGCGCGGAGCTGGGACGCTTGGACGCGAGACCTCGGCCGGTGCCGAGCGGAACGGAACGGACGTGTTGCCAGGTCGGAAGGTGTTCGGATGAAGAACCACGCCATGTCAATGAAGATAGCAGCCTTTTGAATCTATAGGCTTTGCCTTCAAAAACGCCAGCAAGTGGACCCGCAAAAAACCCTTCTGCCCCAATGGCGCCCAGCCACGCTGTGTCGCGGGCCTTCGTTCTTCGCAGCTGTTTCTCCGCGAGAGGGGCTGTGGCACCTCTGTGCTGCGACGAAAACCAGGTGAACAACTGGAAAGCATCGGAACCTGGATGCCGTCTGCGAAAGAGGTCCTAAGACGGGAGGCTTTTTAAACAGCAACGCCAGGCGCCAAAGATCTCTGGGAGACTGTACTCTGGAGGACTCCGAGGCTACAGGTGGTCCTCAGATCTTCCAAGTTGCAACAAAATCCCATCACCTTGTTCTACAGCAGGAATTGTTGATGGAATAGCCTCCAAACATCATCAAACATCCTATAATAGCAGCCAAAGATCCCAAAACAGAAGCATCTAACAAGTGAATTCCGCACAAAAGGCCTGGTCTCTGCAATTGTTTTCGTTCGCTCTGCAGGTCCCTTCCCTGCGGCCTGACCAGCCTTCCGGACCGCCGATCCGTCGGCGCGTTCAGCGCGTTCAGCGCGGAGCTCGCGTGGAAGGGTCGCACGCCAGTGGTGCTGATAGCGGTGAAAGGCCTGTGAACTGGCGCGATCCTCAAAGTCCACGCGCAGAAGCTGCTCGCGGTAGGGGTTGCCCAAGCTGGTGCTGCGCGTGGAGTCGCGCGGCATGCGATAAGTGATGACCTTGGGAGAGTGCGTGCGGATCTGGTGGGTGACATAAGGGTGACATGTATGCCATTGGACCTCTCTCTTCATAGGACGAAAACACCATGTTGTGGCTCCAAAACAGCGGTCAGTCAGGCTCTAAGGAGGTCATCCGCAGGGGCCAGGAATGGCGCCAGAGTCTTTACCTTTTTCTGCTTTTTGGAGGTGGAGTTCCAATTGCAAAAGGCCCCCAGTAATCGCAGCAGTCCAATCAAGCCGTCACCTCCATCACACCACCCCATCTATGGGGCCAATTCCGCCTCCCTTGCTGCAAAATCTCGCGCGCCCGTTGCTCCATCCACTCCCGCCCTCGAACTCACTCCCGCCGTCGAACGTGCGGTGCCGGGGCGGCACGTAGGCCGGGTAGGCCGGCGTGCCGGGGCTGCCGGGGAAGACCACCACTTCGCGGCCGGGGGCGGAGTTGCTGGTGCAGGAGTGGAAGCCTCGCCGGGGGGATGCCTTCCCCGAACTGTTGCGGGGGTGAGGATGGGAGTGAGGATGGGTGGAGGGGGGTTGAGTCGGTATAGTTCTAGCACACTCCGGAACAGATCGATCTGGAGAGCACCACAGTCAGCATCTGCCACCCTTCGGAAAAGGGGGTCACCTGCCTAAAAAGCCCACACACTACTGAGAGATCTCCCTGTCCAGGACACCCCGAGGTCCAGGAGAAATTTCCTGCTTTTGCTTGAGGTTCTGATCGTCCTGGTGGCTGTAAGTGAGAGGATCATAAGCACTTCTACCCTCCCATGAGCCTCCCTTGAACTCCGGGTATTCTTCACTGCTTTCTTCCAGCCATGTTCCAACCATCTCCTCAGGTTCGGTGGTTAGACCCCCTGGCACCCACCCCAAGCATCTTCGAAACAGGTGGTTGGAGGCCTAGGGTCCTAGGGATACTAATTCCGGGACAATATAATTCATCTTTCCGAGAGTCGTCCATGAAGGTGCGGCTAGAGACACCGCCCAAAAGAAGCCCCCCAAAATCCTAACACGATCCTTCAAAGGTTCGCTCAGGTCAGGGTACGGGGGTAGTACGGGGGAGTGTTCAGGCGGGTATGGTGAGTTCAAGGTCATGGGGTTCACGCGGCACATCTGCACTTGACGTCAAAAGTCGCAGCCAGCACTTGATGAGCCAAGGAAGGGAGTCGTGACATCTGGACTTTTCCAGACATGGCGTCCAAAATGGAGAGCCGTCCCCTCCCGCTGTACAAATCGGTGCTTTTCCACTTCAATCAATTCCAAGGAGCATGCTTTCCACCCGGTTTAGGTGGGCCATGGGGAAACCATTCCCCCATTGGCCAAGGCTGTTCGAGCACCTTCCAAGGGGTCACCAATGAAAACCACATAAAACCACTACTATACTACACTACGGTATGGATCTCCTCCCTGGGCACCCGTTAGGTCCGGTCCTGGTATCATCAATTCGGGTTGGTGGTTCCAACTCACGAAAAATATGAGTCAGTGGGTTCGTAAGGTTGAAACATCCGAAAGCACCACCTGGTCATTTGGCCGCCACATGTGCCAACCCCTACAGGCCAGGAAACCATCTCCTCTTACTTGAGCTGGTCATGCAAACAAAATTAACCAACAAATCACATATACGCGTTTGGAGGTTTGAAGGGACCAGGTTTGACTTGGTTCCCCACCTGTCAGGTGAGGATTTGAATAGAAATTGTGATGGTGGAGGGTCACTCGAAGTATTCTTGGGCGGAATTGATGGTGATTTGACCCCACACAGGTCGAGTCAAAAGCGCGACTACTTCGCCACCAGCTTCGGCCTCCGCGACCCCCAAAACCCCCGGGTCGCGACCCAGGACGAACAGGACTGCCAGGACGGACTGCTGAGAAACGGCCGTACGGGGGTGGTGGTTACGAAGGGGGGTCTGGCTTGATCGGCACACATGGAGTGGGGGGCCAGTCTCCGCGTCTCTGTGGGACTTCCGACTAGTACAGAAACGTACAGCTGGTCTAATTTGTTTTGTGGAGGGGGTGTCCATTTTGCCAAGGAATGCTCCACGTTTCACTTCGGCAGGACGCTCACGCTGCGCTCTCACGCTGCGCGAAATCACGCGGCGCTCTCACCTGTGGGTGGTTCCCGGTGCTCGGGCCGAAGCAGTTGCCGTTGATCTTTCAACGGCGCTTTCAGGGCGCAGCGGCCCACCACCACACGGGCCAGGATCACCTATAGCGCCAGTGAGGTCTGCCAGTGAGGAGGTCTGCTCATCAGCAGTCCGTGGTCGGGAGTCAGGACCAGCGGAAGCAGGATTTGGGGATAGAATCCTAAAGGATCGATCTCCGAACATCCCAACATATCAACTCCGGCAGGGACATAGGTTCGGAATAGAGTTTGAACAGTTGCCGGCTGTTGGCGTAACGGCGTTAAGCATGCGAGAGGAGTCTACACTTCGATGTAGAAGTCGCCGAGACGTCATTGTAGCTACTGTTGCTAAGTCGCACCTCGTGCGCCACGGTCCTGTCTGACCTTCTGCATCGTCACTGTGGTTGCACATGGCATGCTGAATCACTCATTGCCGGCCGCTGGTGGTACGTGCGTTTCAAGCAAATTTGCCCAGCAAGCTAGCAGCTAACATCATGCAAGCGGGTGAGCGAAAGGAAGAGTTGAGGGCTTTTCAGTTTCAAAAACCAACCTCCCGCCAACAAAAATACAAACGCTCTCAAACGCTCATCCACTGACAAGCTGAGAAAACGCGATCCCCCCGTTCGATTCAACCAGTCAGCGCCGATCCGTTGGGCTTTCTGAGCGGTCACCTGCCCCCCCCCTGGCAGCCAGCTGGTGGTCCAACGTGGAGGTGCTACGCTGGGACATCGTCTTGCTTTACCAAGAGGTGTCTCGCCATAACTGGCCTCTTGAAGCTGGAGCCCACACCCCTTGGAGAAACCCTCCTGTCATGATGAGTGCTAGGTTTCGGTTTGCGAATCGTTGTGAATCGCAATCGCACCCGGCCACCCTACCCTGCCAACTTCATCGGACTGCCCCACCCTGCCAACCTGACAGATCTCTGTCTGCTTACCTCGGCTAGACCAGGCGCGATCGACGGTCGTTCTTCTGACCCGACAAACCGCTCCGAGCGTCCGACCCATCAGATCAATCCTGTCAATCTGGATCCAGTCGTACCTTCTCAGAAGGTGATTGGACTCTCTGTTCTGTAGGTATGGAGGGTCCAAGTACCTTCTGAGGAGGTACTTGGAGCCCTAGGGATTGAGATTCTCATGAGATTCTCTATCCACCCGAAATATATATCTCCGACTGGTGCTGCTGCAGTGCTCGGCAGCGCAGAACACAACAAAATCGAAAAACAAACAACAGTTTTTCCTTTCGGTTTGTGTTGCTTTGCATCTTTGGACCCATGGGTTGACCTACAATCCTTTCGAAATGGACTCTTTTTGGACCCCCAACAACGGGCGGCGCCCGAACACAGGGATGCTGCCCTCCGTTGCGTCCGGTGTTCCAGGGCGGTTGTACCTGTCCTCCACCGGGTCTGACGGGAAAGCCGTTCTCAAGAAACTGTTGCTTGTTGAAAGTCTATGGTCACCCCTGGTGGGTAATAGTGGGTAGGCAGCCTACCACGTCCTGAGCCATTTAAAAAATGAAACAAGACCTCCGAACATGCCCCGATCGCGTTCGCCACATCCAGGCAAACCACGATGTCGCTGGGAGTCCCAGTGGTTCCAAAGACTAAAACCATAGACCGAACGAACCCCTGGTTCCTTATATAGTGGTAACTGGGATCCACTGGGCATGGCTTGTTTTTTTTTCTCTGCGCCTGTCCGCCGTTGCCTGGTGATGCCTGGTGGTTCGAGATGGATGGAACATCGGAACCGAACTTTGGACACCAAGTGCCCTCCTAAAAAGGCAATCCACTTTCTTCCTGCGGTAGGAGCCAAAGAGCCAGATTTGCTCATCTGCGCGAAGTGGTGCGCCAAGCGCGGGTCGCGCGCAAAGTAAACGCCTCTCCCGCGGTGGCTTTGCACCGTGCTGGACAGCGTGGGAGACTTGCGGAGTGGTCTCAGGAATACACTCAAGTACAAGTATTCCATACCCTAAGGTGTATATATCTAATGATAGCCCCTTCGAGGTGATTCACCACTCCTGGTGTACAACCAGCCACTGTCCAAGCAACACCGTCCAAGCGGACGCTCCATGAGTGATAATTACCTCCCGTGATCCAAGTCACAAGTTGTGGCACGTGGCACTTGTCCCCCACTGTCGGTCGGTTTGCTGCACCAGATTAGCATCACATGATTCAGTGCGATGTTGCAGTGAAACGATTCAGCTCTTACACAAATAACGACTATTAAATGTTTGTGGACAATCATGGGGGCTCATGTTCATGGCACCCGTCGGGCCGGTCTGGCCTACACCGTAGCGGTTGTGTCGGCTGTCGAGCTGAGCGTGGCTGATGCGGAAGCCGTTCTCCAGGACGGCGTCCACCGCATCCTGGGAGGATGAGACGTGTCTGCCGAGATGGACTGTTAGTTCGGAAGTCATAGGCCTGAGTGGACCCCCAAATAGATAGAAGAGTAGGTAGGTCCCCACTTAAAATGTATTGGAAACTGTGCCACTATCCATCGGGGGGCCGCTATAATCGTAATATTGTCACGAATTCATGGAGCATAATCCACTGTATAATTGATAGGGCACCACCTCATTGTTTCATGGACATGATGTTGACTGATGAACCGTGATTACAGTAAAAATTCTTCCCTTGGAGGCATATTTGGCTCTTCTGGTTCGGAATCTTCTTAGGACTCTAATTGACTGACTGGTGCGACTCGTAGGGAATGAGGGGTGGCTGGACCCTAAGGAACCTTTAATATTGCCAGGTCGTTCCCTCAGTCCCCGACGAGCCGCACCGGTCATTGAAGGAGAGGTGCCAGAATCAACCACCAACCGACGCACCCGGATTGGACGAACACACGAAGTGTCTGTGCAGCGCGGCCTGATGACTTTGCGGGGGATATGATGAGTTAGTTGGCTGAATATGAAAAGGACAGTGGTCACATATCTACAAACCATTCTTCGTTCAATCATCCTCCGCAAAATACATGTGTTCTTTCGGTTGAGGCACCCAAAGAAATATCCAAGACAGGGGCAAGCTAGGAGCAACTTGAAGAAGAAGATAGCACAAGCACCCGACCGCAATCCGCCCGAATCTCTGCACCGACAAGAAAACAACACACGGATGGTATGCCATGAGCTGTGCCTCTAGCTATATAGGCTAGCGACCAGGTGGGTCATGGGGATACAATCACCGGCTGCCTTGGATGCACCATGCAAGCATGATCAAGCATGCTCATTCGGGTCCACTGATGTCGCAAGTCGCACCGATGGGTATCCGAAACAGTCCCGATGCACACACGAGGGCTCACATGTTCACAGTTCACGTCGTACAGTACAATAAGTTCGAACGCGGGTTGCTACAAACATCATTGACCATGTGCAACATGGAGCCTCTAAAGTGCAGGGGGGGTACCGTGTACAGTTTTCATGAAACTTGAAAACTGTAGAATAATAGAACCCCAAGGGGTAACATATACGTCTAGGAAACAAACATACATGCACCCCCCCGCCCAAAAAAAAGGTATGTGTGTGCGCGTGTGTAGGCATGCATGCCCTGGCACTCGTTTCTAACAGCCCAAGAGCGCTCTGCAACAAGAGGTCATGTCTGCAAGTGAAAATCTATTCCGGTCTTCTTTTGTTGCTAGACGCCGAGACAGTGCTTACATATATATGCTTACGTGTCTTTAAGACTGTCTTGCCTGAGTGCTGAATCGTGCGGCACCTGTCTCGATGAATGCAACCTCCACCGGGCGTCACTACGAAACTTGAAGGCCATTCAGGTGAGATGTCAACGATCTTTTGTAGATCCTCGTAGTTGACCCGCTGCCTCGTGCTCCAGCCATCGTGTTCAAGCTCATCTGGTTCACCGTGTTCTTGAAGTCACTGATCATGGAACGCTGTTCCTCCATCACAAGCTGGTTCTGCTTCATGGCCTTCTCACTCTGATGCAGCGTGGTCATAGTGCCCTCCAAGGCCCCTTTGGCCAAGTTCAGCTGTTGTTGGGCCTCGGACAACTGGGAGCGAATCGTGTTCTGAGAATTCTTCAGTTCCTCATTGTTCTCTGCCAAGGCCACAATCACAGCTCTCATCCGGATCATGATCGTCCTGAAATCTCACTGCGACACATCAGGTAGTAGTGGTGGCACAGCATCAGAAAATTCTTGATCAAGTCTGATCATGTCTTGATCCTCTGCTGGGAGAGCTCGACGTCGTAGGCCATGGCTTGCGTCATAGTCCACCTGCAAAGTGTTGAGAACTCGATTCCTCCGATCATGGCGAGCGTCTCTCCATGTGACGTGGAGTAGGAGACTCATGTGGCTTTTGAACCATATGCAGTCAACACATGTGCAGTGCCACCATGCATTTCGGTGTCCTGGTCGCTGCATGACTGTTCATGTGGAAGCTCATGACCATGAAAGGAATCATCTGCCAAAATGACAAGTACTCCTTCTTGCGCATAATGTCTGCCCTGAGATGCCGGTGAGGCATCATGAATCAGCATCAAGCGCTGGTGCTTGCTCTGAAAGTGGCGGTAGTGCAGTCCAAGGTCTTTATCTTGTTGTGCCTTCACCAAGACTTCATTCGCCTTCTTCAGATCAGAGATCTGTGCAGTGGACTGTGCAGTGGTTACCTTGCCCTGCAGGAAGGAGATGTCTGCCACAAGGTCCAATCTGATAGATGTTATCAACCACAAGGCGCCCAGGATAGAGCGGAAAGAGGTACTCTCCGCAGCAGTTAAACGGTCACTGTCGTCTCGACCCTTCCGGGTCTCCACTACTGGAACCATCTTCTCCACAAAGCTGGCCTGAGAAATCTTGAAGCCTTGCTTGGTCTTGATGTAGTCACTGCCACAGTGAGAGAAGGATGTCTGCTGTCTCGTCACCTTCTTGAACCTTTTGGTGAACTTCACATGTAGCTCATCAAGCCAAGGTTGATGAACGCAGATTGACAAGTCATCCACGTGTGAGGCCATCAGGCCGGTCAGACAATCAAAATCGTTGTCCTTCAGCTGCTTCTTGTCATCCTTGAAGTACAGCAGGTTCTCATCGAGCTTGGAAGATCGTCCTCCAAGTTCTTCGTTGACGAACTGGTGCCATGACAGCTGCCAGGCAACAGGAACATCGTTCAAGCCGCACACTGGCCTTCCGCAGAGAAGTCCATAGTGTGGTACCTGGTACTCGGTGATCTTCAACTCACCCGCAAATGATCCCAGGTGCCGCCAGACATTTCGTGGTGGCAGAATCAAGACTGTTCGATTTGGATGTCGGCAAAAGTCAAGCCCATTAATAAGAAAGCTCCTGAAACATCGATAGACTCAATGTTGAAGCCTCGACGTGCTGCAGTGCTCACCACAATTCTCTGTGATAACCGGGTAGCTGTCGTGGATCTTGTTGTGAGCTCATACTTCTGCTGGTCAAAGCAGCCTTGAGCACATAGTCGGCTCTTGACCTTCAGGCTTCCATCAGGCTGTCTCTTCTATTTTCTCACCCATCGTGCATCGATCGCATCTCAACAGTGAGGCCGTCAAAGTGGAACTTCTTGAACGCCATTTCATCAACGAACTGTTTGATCTCCGATGAATCGGCTTCCTCGACAAATGGCCATAGCTTGCCTGTGAAGCCATTGATGAGGTCAGCTTCTTCGATATGGCTGGTCTCTGTGTCGACCTTGTAGTAGATGTGGCCAGCACGAAGGCACGCGTATGCACTGGAGCTCTTCTTGTACTTGATGGTGACGAGGAAGGGGAGATCTTGCTTCTTCCTTGCACGTTGCTTCATCTTGATCTGGTGGTGCAGCTTCTTGCTCATGTCGTACTGGTAGTACCACTCCTCCGGAAAGCCTGTGTATATCAGTCTTCTTCGTTGGACCTGGTAGTTCACGGCCATGAGGAAGTCGTGGTCGGCATAGATCTCCGCAAAGTCGATTCTCTGCTTCTTCTCTGGTGATGCCATCGACGATGTTGATGGTGAAGCTGGTCGTGCGTTCTGCACTCGTGATTCCGGTGCTTCTTCCAATCGTGGTTTCTTCTCTGGAGAGGTGATCAGTGGAGAAGTCGGTGTCAGCCGTGGTTCTGGCTCATCTTTTTTGATTCCATGCGCCGGACCCTCCGCGGCAGACAGTGCGGCAGACATGGCATCATCTGGTTGTGGTTCATGGGGGCGTTGTGATGCCTGAGGTAGCCGCGCGTTGGACATAGTATCTGTCAATTGGCGATGCGGTTGTGATATGTGATGTGGAGGTGGTAAGGTGTGTTGTAAATGTGATGTGTCCACGGTTGTGGTAGTGCTTGTCTTCTCATCTTCAGCTGCTGGTTGATCCTTGTAGTAGTAGAAGTAGATCAAGCACAAATCTTCTCGGTTGTAGTTACTGATCTTCTTTCATTCCAGGTGGCCGTCATGCTCGCAGGCTTGTACTGCGTGTTGTTTGCCTCCAGTCAGCCAAGTGATCAGTGTTCCGGTCGCGTTGGCTGGTGGCTTGAAAGTCCTGATTGACTTGCCAATCATGATGCCATTCAATGTTTTCTTGGTCATGGGCTTTGAGACGTTGTTGGCCTTCTCCAAGATTTCGTTCACCTGTGGATTGACTTTTGGAAAATGCGTCCAGGTCTGGTTCTTCGTCAACAACCAGTGGATCTTATATGCTGAGATGTCCTCAACGAATCGCATCAGCTTGTACAGGGACAACTCAGTCTCCTCTGTCTGCAACTGCACAATGAAGATGCCATGGAATGGTCTGATGTGGCGAAAACCAACCAGGTAAGGTCTGCCCTGCTACTGAATCGCTGCCGTGCCCTCTGATGCGTCAAGGCGTAGAAGGAGTGCTGGTCCTCTCCATCCGGGATCGCCTGGAACATCTCTGTGAAATTCAACTTCACTGGTGCCAGGGACAAGCTGCGATATCTCCAGTTGGTGAGATCGAGAACGAGAGGCTCTTGCAACTCTGTCCTCTGCCACGGCTTGATGCACCTGTGACAAAGCTGCTTGTCTGACGCGCAGGGCTTTCTCGAAGGTGGTCAAGTCTGTCTCCAGTGCACCGTGCACAGACATGATGCCATCACTGTCAATGTTGTAGAAGCCTCTTGGCAAGGTGCCAACGACTGCCATGGATGGCGTCGACCCATTGTAGTTCAAGGTCGGGTTCTGTGCCATGGCCGCTTCTCTTGCCAGGTCGGACTGAACACTTTGTCGAGTGAGTTCAGCATGAAGTTTGTACACGCATAACTTCTGCAAACCAATGTGTCTTTTGACCAAACCAGTACCAGTGTGTTGACTTGCTCCTTGTCCAGTGGTGGTACCTCTGGGTCTTCTTGCGATGCCAAGTCGTCCACATTCTGAGCCAACATATTGTGTTTCATCAACGATGTCTGTTGATCCAAGACCAAATTGCCCATAGGCCCAAACATGTGGATCCAAAGGCGAAGGATAGACTCCATCAGTTGATCTGCTTCTTGTCCTGGAATGACATCAGATATCTTGAATCTAGTAGCCTCATCAATGAGCGTGATGAACTGATGGTCTTGCCAGTGAAAGACGTCCATCTGCACTGCATCGCCAAAGGGTGTCTCTCCTCCAGTTCTTGCCTGCCTGATGAGGCCGGTTTGGCATCCGGATAAACTTGCGACAGATGGTGCACTCTTGTACTGCTAGCTCAAGTACTTCTTGAGGCAATCCATGTAAGCCTGTAAGCCACAAAGAAGTTGCTTGGCCTTGACCATTTTTCCTTCTGTCGCAAGCTTTGGAACCTTCTGCTCTACTCGCTTCAGGTCGTAGTTGGGGCATAGAGAGGCCTGTTCTGGTAGTGGATGATGAAGCCAAAACTCATCACCATCATCATCATCAGGCCAAGGTTGAGCGGCCGCTGCAGAAGGATCCGATGCCTGACCAGAGGAAGCTGAAGACGGGGCAGAAGCGTCAGAATGAATCACTCTCCCCGTATCATCTTTTTCAGCTTGGCTGGAACAGGAGTGGAAGGAGCAGGACGGTCTCGAACAGCAGGAGTGCTAGGAGCAGCAGCCAAACAGGGAGTAGGTGGTACTGGCAGCTCCGGGCAGTGATACGTGGCCGGTGTGGAAGGTGTTGGCTGTGCAGTAGGATCAATGCCAAAGAAGGCAATCAGCCAATCACCAACATCTATTGCAGCATTGATCTGGGCAATGGAAAGTTCTCGAAGACCTTCTAAAGGACCAATCTGCCATTCCCGGATAGCACCAATAGCTTGTACCCTGAAATAGGCACTGGTGATGGCCATGTGTGGTGTAGGAACAGCTTTCTTCCAAGGACGTAGTTCAATGGATACGCATTTAACGTCCATGATGTCCTTGAAGATCTCCTTGGCCAGTGCGAGGTGTATTGGATTGACACACCAGTGAACGTAGTCCATCTTCCACTGAGCTGCTTCACTGAAGAGGTTGAGCGTCTTGTTGACTAACTCCAGAAGTAGTTTCTTGACATAGATGGACTGGGCAACAACCAATGGTGGATCAACATGTTATTTCATATGTTTCATATATTTCTTGGAGCTCACCTTGCTTTTTTCCACTTGCTGTTCTCAGTCTCTGCTGGACTGTGGGGGTGTGTGCCCTTCTAGGGTTGGAGCTTGCACACACACAAAAACACAAAAGACATCAACATTTTGGGAAATATATACTAGCTTTTCTTTCTCTTGCGTGCTCCAACCCCGGAAGGACTAAGGTGGACAGCTCCTGCCACAGCCAGCACACAAAAGAGGAACCATCTACAAGAGATCTACTCCGATGTCAAGTTCCTATAGAAGCCGCACACCTGCTGCTTCTTACCAGGGGTGAAAGTGGAACATGCGGCATAAGGCCTTCCATCTTTGGAACCCCCCTGAATGATGAGCCATCGTCGTTTCTCTCCTCTGACCACGAAGTAATCCCGAGTACCTATTTAAAAACGGACCTCTATTTAAAAGCCATGCCCCTAACTAAGTACGGCTTATATTGTGTTTTGAATTGCAACCCTTTCAAAACGCTACTAAACTACCAACATTGCCGATTTTGGAGGAGATTTTGTTAAAAAAACAAATAGGTTCCAAAAACAACCGTAAGTGCTCACCTCTGTCCACCCTGTCTATCCACCACGACACGCCCTGCTTACACCAGCAGGCTTTCCTTCCCCCAATGGCACAGACTCACGCAAACGCACTTTCCACAGAGGTCACGCAAAACCGCATGGCATAGCGACATCACCTTTCGAAAGCTTTATATAGTTGTTAGTCTAATGAAGAATCACTATTCTAATAAAGGCTTTTGTAGGAGAAAAGGGAAACCCTTCGATCTGGAGGTTTATTGAATTTTTGATACGAGTTTAATAAAGGATATATAAATGTAAAATTTTCTTGGGTGACTTTTCGGTTTTGAAGCCCTTCCCAGGTGACCCAATTTGGACCACCCCGATTTGAGGGACCCCCTATTTAGAAAAAGGCGACCGAGGTTTCCTTATTGGGGGGGGGGCGCATGTTTTTTAATAGGTGGACCGGATTAATCCTGGTTATCTGGCCTGCATCAAAGACTGCAAAGTTCAAAGTCCTTTTGGCATAGTCGATCTCAGTCTGTGCTTCCTCTGTCTCATGGGCGTTCTCATCTTCGGTGCTCTTCTTGTGGCCAAATCGCGTCCTGTTCATGAAGTCGTCCTCAGAGAATTAGGTGCCAACATGATAGTGTTCAAACGGCCGCTGACTCTGAAGGTTGATGTTCGATGCTCCAAGTGTCACATCAAGACCTGGTCTTGTAGTGCTTCCGGAAGTGGCGTCATCAAAAAGTGATCTTGCCTCTGCGCTCCACCAATTGCTGTAGTCCTTGCCTTTCTTGCTTTTGCCTTGTCCTTTCCGGCAGCCCTTGCCCTTGAAGCCGCGTTTGCCTCCAAAACGAGCATGCTTTCCGAAGCCCTTGAAGCCCTTGCCTGAGCCTTTGCTTCTCCATGTAGGCTTGCCTCCAAATCCTTTGCTGGGTCCTTTTCCTCCATGTCATTGCATGGGACAGTCTCTGGCCATATGAAATTTGCTGCCGCAATTCCTGCGTCCATCATTATGGCCTTTTCCTTTGCCATAGTAGTCTTCACGGACTGTCACACTGTCGAGAAGGAAGCTGGATCCTGTCTGTCTGAGGATGCCGCTGGTGCCGGTGCTGGCGTTGATGTCGGTTGGGGCGATGATGACACTGGACCTGATAGTGGTTCGTCATCATACCACCAGCCATCTTCGTCATCATCCTCATTGAAGTATGCCTAGATAATCTTGCCAGCCTTCATCGTACCAGGGAACGCTCCAGTCACCATAGTAGTACTCGTCGTTGTAGAAGTCCTCATGAGGATAGTATATAGGTTTCTTCCCGATCTTGATAGAAGTGTCTTCCTGATCTTGATGGAAGATCGCTTCATCTTCACGACGATTTGGTGACAGCCTCAATGCGAGCGATCTGGCGTCCTGGAAAAGTCGATAGTCACCGTGGACCTGCAACTTTATGTCGTCGATCTGTTTGGTGGAGAGGCCACCGAATGTGAAGTACAAGTAGTATTTGCCAACATCATGACGTTCAAGCCAGACCAGATTCTATACCACATCTTCAACTTCTCCAAATATGACCTCAAAGGGTACGACGAATCACCGTGCTGCAAACCTGGAGGAAAGTCACGACGATACTCAGCCGCAGCGATCCTGAAGATGCCTGTGGTGGTTGGGCCATAGCCGTCGCCAAAGAGCTCTCCTTTCAAATTGTCGATCTCACCCTGGATCCATTCCGTCTCCGGCTCCGTGCTCACACGGCTTCCGACAGGATGTCGGCCTGCGCCTCGAGTGGATGGCCTTCTGTGAGACCTAGCACAGGCGGGAGCCGGGGACTGGGCAGTCCCCGGCTCCGCTGCCACACTCGTTTCTAACAGCCCAAGAGCTCTCTGCGACAAGAGTTCATAGTTCATGTCATGTCTGCAAGTGAACATCTACTCTGGGCAACATATTATATATACCGCGTCGCACCCCCCAAACAAAGAAGTAGGATTTGGGCGCATTATGCTGGGGTTCCTGAACCCCCGCAAAAGAATAAACAAAGAAACTCAGGAGGTCCCGGTCTCTCATCTGCAAGGCGCGGTCCCGTGGAAAAGCCACAGCTCCACCTCCTCCGCCGGCCCTAGGCCCACACGAACTGCCTGGCGATAGGCGGCGAAGGGCATGTAGTTCGCCTGGCGAAGGGCGGAGGGATGTCACCGTGACGGTGACATCCCTCCGCCCGGTTGACTCGGGGAATGAGGTTTCTTATCCCTATTACATTCCATGGGACTGCCATATATGCCGATCAGTTGGGGTGGTTTCAGGGGGTCAATGTAGGCATATATGGCAGTCCCATGGAATGTCTGGGTATTTTGGTGCTCCCGTGCCTGATGGCACCATGGAAGAACGGATTAGTTTATAGGAAGTCGCGGCGCGGCGCGGCGCAGCCGCTACAGGTCAGATTTCACCAACAACACGACTGGAGTCGATCTTGCAACAACATTACTCAGACCCTAGGGCTCCTGTCGCACCTTTTAAGAAGGTGGTTGGGGTGGCTTTGGAGGGTCCAAATACCTTCTGAGCAGGTACTTGGAGCCCTAAGGAGAGAGATAAAGGATCTGAGGATCTGGTTTTACTGGGTCTTTCATTGGTCATTGGTGCAGGAGGACTGATCAATTGACGCGTGTGACTGGAGTGGAACGTTTCGCGCTTGCGCGGTGGCGTTCATTCACTCCAGGATGACCAAGGAACTATATAGAAACAACTATCTTGGATCTCTTTCTTCATATTCTATGGGGTGTTGCGCCATGCGCTCCGACGTCGATCTGGCGGCCTATGGGAGAAACAAGCGCGGGGGTCAACCCAACCCTGGCCTAGCCGCAAATCTTCTCTAGACACTTCGGAGCTTCATGGCACCGTGCCGTGTCACGGAACTGTCCGGTCTAGCATGGTCCAAGCATTCAGTCTCACAAAATGTGGCCTACATTCGCAAGTTGGATCAAAGTTACCACCATTTACCATGATAACGTATGTCGAGTGGTTTTGCAATCGTTGAAGCTCCATGGTAAGTGGTCGTTGATCACGGCGGTAGAGTTACATCCCAACTAGGAGTACCATTAGGTGCGCGTCCAAGTGGATCGTGTCGCTTGCTGGACATGGCCGTCATAGGACCCGGATGTTCTTTGACTGCGCCAAAGGGGTTGAGGCACCCCGAAGAGACAGCCCTTCAAACACAGGAAAGGACCAGCAGCAGAGCTCCGAACAAATCTGATTCAGCGCCTACTTGCATTCCCACACACCCTCCGCCACAGCCTGCTCCCGCCGCGCCCGCCCAGCGTTCTCACGGCGCCCGCGCCTGGTTCTCCCAGCGTTCCACGCGCTCGACCTGGATGCCCTCGGGCATCGCTTCGTAGAAGTAGGAGCAAATGGCCATGCCTCGCGGTGCGCTGCGTCAGACGGAACGACGGAAGCGGAGAGGACGTGAACTCTCCGGGTGGGAGGGAACCAGGCGTGGTGGGTGATACAAGAACTTGATTCTCCTTGGGGTGGGTGGGAACTTGGAGGCAATGTCCAAGGTCTTCAAATTATGGCTCAAAGATTGTTCACACTCCCTGGAACTAACATGGTTACGTGGATGGCATGGCCCCTTGGAAGACCATTTTCCACTACAACAGGAGGTTTTCCACTTCCATGTTAGTTCCAGAAAGTGTAGATGGCACAAAATCCCAACGAAGTCACATGGAAGTGGAAAACCTCCTGTTTGTAGTGGAAAATGGTCTTCCCAGGGGCCAGGCCATCCACTTCCAGGGAGTGTACGCGCGGCGCACGGCGCACGTCGGCCTTCTTCGCACCAGGGGCGTAGCTCCACGCGCACGGGCGGCCGCCCCTCGCTGCACCAGTGGCTGGGACGTCCGGTGGGCCAACCGTCCGGCGCCATGGCCGCGGGCAGCGCACATGGGGGAAGAGTACAGTAATTCGGTCCACCTCCTCATCTGGTTTGAGATGAGAGCCAGAAACCTGCCAGCTCGAGGAGTGCTCGTCTGAGTAGAGTGCTGACTCCCATGCACATATTCAATATCTAGATATAGACATAGACATAGATGCGCAGCATTCACAATTGTATGCCCATGGACAGGAAAGTTCGGCGACTGTTCATTTCAGTTAATATATTGGTCTAATATTGTTGGAGCCCCAAGCAGTTTGTCGGGGCCTTGAATCATCAATATCCCTACAGGTCAGTCAAGTGCAAAAAACACGACTCAAGCAAATAAAGAAACCAGGTTTTACATGGTCTTTGGACCATGGCATGGTCTAGCTGAGAACAATTCCAATCCCACTTGCGTGGCGACAAATCGGATGTGCTTTGTAATTTCAGAACTCAGTCATTGCAGCGAATTGGTGATTTGGATGTCTGGAAAATCGGACGCTTCCAAGACTTGCGGACATGACGTCTTGAGCCAAGACGTCAGCCCGGTTTTTGTGATGCTAAATGGATCTAAATGGGCATTGACAATGGTCAATGTATAATAATATAGAGAGAGAGATGTACATAGATAAAATAGATACTGTATATGGTTCTCATATCATAGCAATCGTGTTCACCTCTGAACACGATTGAAAATACATGAGTGCAAGGTAGCTTTGTTGATGACCAAATGGGCGCATTTCAAGAACGTCGTCCGGTCCTGTGGCGCCTGCGGTTGATGGAAAAAGTCCTGCACCACAAACATCACAAACCGTGCACCTTTCTTGTTACCCTCATTTTCCCTTTGCAACATGGGGACCAGCACAGTGAAAAAACTTGAGCGGGGAAACACGAAAGGTAGAGACGGACCGAGTAGCTGTCGGGACCTTTTCTGGTGAGGGACTGTCTCCGGTGTTTCAGGAACGTGCCCCTTGGTCAATCATGGATGAAACCAACAAAGCCAGAGAGGACAAGAAGGCATAAGAAGGCTCAAGAGGAACTCCGTTGCGGTCAGATTGCGCCACACGGCTCTGCAGAGAGGCTGCGTTGCGTCGACGCTCGTTTGTGTCTAGGTGTATGAAAACAGGCGTGCGTAAAAGTCGCAATGCGTAAACGCTCGCATGTGTACCAGCTATGGTCCCACAGCTGCACGCACTGTGTCAGGATTACAGGCCTGCACGCGTTGCGTCGAAGCCGCAGTGACTCAGTGACCAACCCCCCTTGTAAGGATAGTGCTGGAGGGGTGCGGCCGGTACTGCCAGGGATGGACGTCACGCTATGGTGGGTGTGCTCCACGATGCGGCAAGATTTCGCCACGCTAGGGTATAAGGCTGAGTCGAATGGTGTTCCGCGACGCGAGGGGTTTCTCCACAGGGCTTTCCAGAGAGGCTGTGTTGCATCGATGCTCGTTGGTGTCGAGCAATATGGTCTGTGAACGCAGTACGCGCTGTGTCACAGCGTCGTACTGCTGTGACTGTTAAGCGCATGACTTCACCTTATGTCCAGAATTTAGTAGTGCTGAGGGGACGGGGAGGGGAGGGGAGGGGGGGGGGGGG